CCGTATCGAATTCGAGCTCTACGCCTCTTTCCTTTCTTTTCCTGAAGTCTCGTCCTGCAAACTCGGGCTTGGATCCCATGTCTGGTGCAATGGTCCTGCTATGCCCTCCAGCCTTGATTTGCTTCACGATGGCAAGATGCCCCTCAACTGATTGACTTGAACTTGTTCTATTCCCCTCACCGCATGTTATTGGCGCTTTTTGCTGTGCTGTAAGGGTCGCGTGCTACTTGAACTCGCACCCCTTGCACCAAGTTGGCGTCCGATGGATTTATGAGCAAAGTAATAATAATACTATTGTACATATCACCACATTTGATCGCAATAGCGAAGTAGACGGTATTAAGGAGAGCTGTTGTAAGTTTGCACGGACTTAGGCGGAGTCAGCGCATAGTGAACCAATGGACCAGTAGCTTCACTCTCAGTACAACCATCGAATAGACCCAAATTCAACATCTAACAGACAGGAACTCTGCATGCAAAGCTCCAGCGATATAGATAGATGAACTAAGGTGGGCTAAGAAATCTAGTGGTCATGAACTAGGGGGGGTCCTTACATAATCCACTACACGTGCGGGACGCGAAATCCCAGTCGCGAAGTTCAATTAACAACGCGTTTCGGGCGACCTGGCAGGCTCACCAGACGCCAAGATTCCCTCTTCCACGCCTGGAATCTCCGCCTCGATTGTTGCCTGTCTGTCTTGTCTTGTCTGTCTATCACTTTGCACGACCCCTAACCTAACTAACTAGCTCACGGTCCAGCCGGCCAGAAAGAGACCCATCAATCGATCACTCTTCTGGATCACCGGCTTTCCTCACTTCACTCCTAATAGTTTCCGCTCATTTTCCTCTCATGACCCTGAAACCTACCTGGCTGGTTATCGGCCACTGATGTGAGCTTAAACCAACCCTTGCAAAGTACCCCAGCACGAGGTTGTGCATGCGCGCGCACTCTGCGAATCATTCACTAAAGTGATTAAGTTACGATGATAGACTAACTGAGTTGTGAATTGAGGAGTTTCATAGGTGCCATTTATTTTTATCGTTATCATACTCCTTTGTCTCATCCTTCCTCTTGATACCCACCCACATACAGCCTCAGCCTTACACTTCTCCGCTGGATGATTAGATTATCGTTTCATTGTCCATTGAGTCGTCAATAAGGTCATTCACCGTCTTTTTCATCCTTATCGCGGCTCATACCACCATACACCATCCCGGGAACGGAAAGTACCGCCATGTCGACAGATACTGCTACCGCCACCGCTCCTGCATCTTCGCCACACTCGTCTGCTGGCTCGTCCTTGTCGTCACTATCATCTCCTCCGTCGGATACGAGTACCTACCCCGCGTCTATCTCTATGTCTGGGTCGCCGACGAGGAAACGCTCGATAGGGGATGTCGATGGGGATACGGCTGCTGCGAAAGGGGAGGATGATACGAATGCGATTACAACTACGGATGTGGAGATGAAGGTTGATGGAGATGCTCGTGTCGATACAGATGATAACAAGGAGAATCGGGATACACAAGTGAAATTATGTGGTCCTGGGGACGAGAAGAAGACTACGGTTGTTGGAGATTCGACTGCCACTACGACTACTGCTCCGGCTGCGAAGAAGAGGAAGTTGTCGCCTGCTAGTAAGGAGGCGAAGCAACAGGAGAAGGAGGCCAAAGAGCGGCAGAAGCTAGAGGAGAAAGCGAAGAAGGAGGAGGAGAAGGCCAAGAAGGAAGAAGAGAAGGCTAAAAAAGAGGAGGAAAAGAGGAAACGGGAGGCTGAGAAGGAAGAAGAGAAGCGGGTAAAAGAAGAAGAGAAGCGAGCTAAGGAAGAGGAGAAGAAGAAGCGCGAAGCGGAAAAGGAAGAGGAGCGCAAGAAGAAGGAAGAGAAACGGAAAGCGAAAGAGGAGGAAAAGGCTGCCAAAGAGGAAGAGAAGCGAAAGAAGGAGGAAGAGAAGTTGAAGAAAGAGGAAGAGAAGCTGAAGAAAGAAAGAGTAAGTTTGAATTTATTTTCTGGCTGAATGCAGAATTCAGGTATCTAACACGCAACAGGCGCAAATGAAGCTGAACTCCTTTTTTGTGAAACCGAAAACCCCGGCGCAACCATCCTCATCGAACACGACCCTCTCTCCTAGCAAAACTACTGGCGCTGGCGCTTCGAATGACCCCTCTCCTGACTCCGGATCGACTGTATCTGACTACCAGCGCGAGTTTCCAGAGTTCTTCCTCCAGTCGCATACCACATTTGCGCCACCGCACAGGTTCCAGCGCGACAACGAAGCTCTGCAGCATACGCGGGAGAAAGTTGATGCCTACTTGAAAGATGCCAAGGATGGCAAGCATGAGCCTGTAATTTTTTGTCCTTCCGAGCTCTTCCAGCTCATGCCATACCAGCGACGGCGTGGAAGGTTGCCCGCTTCAGTTAAACAGATTCTCTTACAGATGCAGAACCTTGCGGATCAGTCAGAGACCTCCGAAGCTGCCCAAAGAGCTCGCGATCTTCTGAGACAAGTGAGAATGAAATCACTTAAATTCAGTGAGGATGTTCGGCCTCCATATCAGGGAACCTATAGCAAGAGCCTACCGGAGTCATCCGTCCGCCAGTTGATGCGCAATCCCTTTCGCCGCGGGCTGCCGGAGACGAACTATGACTACGACTCGGAAGCTGAGTGGGAAGAGCCCGAGGAAGGCGAGGATCTGGATTCAGAGGAAGAAGAGGAAGGGAGTGAAGACGGAGAGGATGACATGGATGGCTTCCTGGATGACGAGGAGGACCATCCGATTGATGGCAAGAGGCGTCACATCGTCGGGGACCTAGAACCCGTCAGCACTGGTATACGATGGCAGGAACATGGCGTGGACCCGGAGCTGCAGGCGTACAAGATGGAGACCATTTCCGACTCGGTGACCTTCCCTATTGACCCGTTCTCCACAGCCTACTGGCAGAAACCGAAGGCCGCCGCGGAGCCAGCGCAGGCGGCTGGTGGTTTGGGGCGCTCGACGCTCCATGCCTTCATGGGGCACCCATCCTCGTCATCCTCACACAAACCGACCGGGAGTGGGCCGGGAGCGGACGGGGGCACCCTGGCCGTTCTGACAGCTGGGAGGACAAAGCGAACGTTGCCGCCGGAGCAGCTGGAAGAGTTCAAGCAGGTGGTGAATGGCAGTGATCTGACCAAGATGGGGTTAATTGAAATCTTGAAGAAACGGTAAGACGTGGGCCCACGAGGGATGCTTGTTGATCGGAAGGCTAATCATCAGGGTTTGCGCCGCCATAGGTTCCCTAAGGTCTCGAAAGACAGTCTGAAAGACACGCTGAACAGCGTGGCCACGCGGGTGGGACAGAAAGAGGCTGACAAAAAATGGGTCTGCAACTAGCCGTGGCCGGGGATTGGCAAGTTTGGCCCCCGGGAAGGACAACGCATAACCAGGGGACTGGTTACGGTTGTGTTTGGAGCACGGCGTTTAGAAGAAGAAATAATGAAAAGATCAGTCACAGACCGAGAGAGTGGTCTTGTCGGCCAATTGAGTGGGTTGATTGGTTCCCCAATGGACGTGTATACCCCTCCTTTCTCTGCGTCTTCTGTCTCTCCTTTGATTTCTTTTCATTTCTTTTCAGTTTTACGATTTACCCTGTCCCTCCTTGCCTAGTGTTTCATTTGTCGACTATATACTCAACGTCTGGCCATCCTGTCAACCGGACACAGACTCGGGTGAGTGGGTGGCAGGACTGGTCGGATAGTGTCGTTTGGCAAGGGGAGTTTTTGTGTTTCGATGAAACACGGAGAGAAGAGAAAAAGAAGAGAGAGAGAGAAACACTACCTGACCGGGTTCCTACGGTGCATCTATACGGAAGTATTCTCGTCTCATCTCATCTCATCGCCCCCATCACACCAGGGACCTTGTGTCCGGGATATTCATCCCATACATCAGGAAGGAGGGGAAGGAGAAGGGGCAGGTGTGATGTTTAGAGATGATGATCGGAGGGGTAGTAGCAAGTCAGAAAGGGAACTGCATATACGGCAGGGATCGCCAATCACAAATGTTCCTGAGCAAACTGTCGGGGCCAAGTGGAGCGGGGAATTATAGAGACCAAAGACAGCGAAGAGCGAGAGAGGAATGTGAAAAGAAAAAAGGTATCTTAATAATAGATCGGGAAAAACGCAGTGCAGAGCGGTGCCAACACAACAAGCACACAGCCTGCGGGAAAGCCTCATTGACATGACATGACATGAACTGACCCAGACCTGACCACTGGGATTGGCATTGGAAACACTTCAGAACCCGGGTAGATGCACCTTTCTCGGGGACCTACTTTGTCTGCGTACATGCATACTACGTACATGGCACTACTATCCATCGTAGAGTTTCTAGGTAGATGAGTGGTGGTGATGATGATGATGATGATGGCTGTTGTTGTCGTAAGTCCAGTCCAGTCCAGCCTGGATGAATATCATGGATATGATGGATATGGGAAGTGGGGTGGGTGGATGGGATAGAACAGCGTCTAGACCAGCTGCGCGTCTGGGTTGAGTGAGTGAGTGTATGCGCGTCCACTGTGTCTTTTTTTTCCCCTCCAGCTACGTACAACTTGAATTGTATCTACTAGTAGCCCACTCAAGAGAGATAGAGGGACAGAGAGAGCAGACAATGGCAAGTGAGATCCATCCATCCTATCGATTCAATGACTGGATGAACATGGGAGCTGAAGCGGGCAACAGCAATCCGAGGCATGGAAGCTGAAAAAAACGCGCTTACCTGCATCATGTAAATAAGATAGGAAATCAAAATTGAAAAGATTTTTTATATTTAACATTATATTTGGTTCGTTAACGGAATGTTGATTGATATTCCGGAATGGGTACTGTAGTGAGTGAGTGAATCATCATCATCCTCACCAGCTTCCATCTGCTGGTTGTGCTCTAAGCCCCAATTGGGACTAGAGGGGGGAACCCAGCTGGGCAAGTGGCAGATGAACACGTGCAGGTGGGGGGTTTGCTGGTTGTCGCGCCCGATGGGGCTTAGTGCCGCGGAGCCACAAATCAACTTTGGGACGGGAGGGACCGTCAACTTATTCTCTTACTAGATTAGTTAGTCTTGTTTATGATGAGGAGGAGGAGGAGGAGGAGGAGGAGAATTATGGATGGAAGGGGTTATTATTTGGGGGTTTCAAAGATGCAGTCAATCATCGTTATTAGTGAGTTGATCCGGAACATTTGCTTTGCTTTGCTTTGCTTTGCTTTGCTTTGCTTTGCTTTGCTTTGCTTTGCTTACTCTAATGGGGTTACGAAGAAAAGTGTCTGACCTGCAGGTTACCTTTTAGTTAGTACATACTAGCTAGCTAGACTTTCCATTTCAGTCCACCCACACTCCATCAAGTTCTTACTCATTCAGTCACCCTCCCCCTCGCCCTTCTTCCCCTCCCATGTACAGCTGATCAGTTCAGTAAAAGAGACGAGACACCCACAGACAGAAAGTGAGAGTGACAGAGAGTCCTGACCGAGGATGGGAAACAAGACCAGACAGGCTGAGCCCATAACTCTACTGACTAGTCGGGCCAACACAGTAAGGGGGGCGGCCAACAAATCAGTGGCTCCCGACGGAGGGTCCGTCATGCATGCATGCATTGCCAGCTCATCAAGGAATTTCTCGCTCTCTCGCTCTCTCGCTCTCTCTCTGTCTGTCTTGTCTCTCTTCGCGCCCTCTTGCTGTCCTCTTTTCTTCGTTCCGGGCGGAAGTTTAGTTCGTTCGGTAGGGGAGAGAAAAAGCTAAGGAAAAGGGAAAACAGTATCAGGATTAGTCCGGTTTCTCATCCGTTTCTCTGCTGTTTCGTTGGCCTGCTGGGGATCTGACCGGGTTTGCTTTCGTGTCTCGTCTACTCCGTACTATCTATCTATTTACTTACCACTACTACTACTTATCTTCCACACTCACTGATGGGGGTAATGTTTGAGGGTCAGTCGATATTTACAGGATGTTTGCTACTTACTTGACTTGATTTTAGTTGTTCAGGTGTTCCCCTCATAGCATAAGGGAATTTACTACTTACTTAGATACATACGTAAATTTACTGAATTCCCCAGACCGGGACAGGTCAGCCGTCTGGGCTGCAGAAACTGGATGGGAAGTAATGGAGAGTTAGTAAATAATGTACCTGCTCCCGCCCCGGTCCCCAAGCAAGGTACAAGTTGACGAATAAGTCAAAAAAGAGAAGAGAAAAAAAAATAAAAAGGAACTTATTTTCTTGCCTCACCCTGCAGCTTCATCGGTCCCTGCAAGCGGCCGATTCGAGTCACCGCCAACAAATCCACGCCTTCTTTCCTTTATCCAGCCGACCAGCCAGTCACACAGCCTGACCAACCACTCTTTTCCATCCTGCTCTGACTTGCTTTCCCTTTCGCCCCTCCCCTCCGGATCGTTCGATTTGCTGGCATCCGCTAGCCGTGTAGGAGTAATACTGCCAGCCCACGGGAGTTCCTCGTTAGTAACTGGACTTTGATTTTTAATTTTTCATTTTTCTTAACAATATTATTTTTTTTTTTTTTTCGTATTTCTTTTTTTTAGATTTTCTGATTATTATTCTGATATTTCTTTGAGGAGTGTCTGTCTGTGTCTGCATGTCATCCCGCCCACGGCCAAGTCAGCCAGTTGTCCCTCCCTTATCCGGACGAGGTCGGAGTTTATCAGCCTGTGAATCATTCAACTATTCCTATTCTACTACTATTCTTCCCTCATTCGAATCCCTCTTCTACTACTTTACTTATACTGTACTTATTTGGTAGCTGACTTGACTCACTGGCTATCCCACTGTTGGCCATTATTTGTTTCGGTGCTTAGTTTTTTCTTTATTTTTATTTTTATTATTATTATTTCCCACCTTCCTGGTATATGTCCCCGAAATAGTGTGTGGGAGTGGATTATATTTCTCCATTTTCTGCAATCTACCCCCCTCCATCAGTCGTCCTCATTATTGTTATTATCCTGCCCACTTTCATTCGTAGTATTGCTTCCACCATTACTACGTCTACTTACTACTACTTACCTACTTACCACCACCGCACACTCCATCACCCTCTGCTCCAACTTCCCCTCCCTCTCTCTTTTCTCTCTGCGTGTGTCTAGTTTTCCCACTTTGCCTTTTTTTTATTATTTTGACCCTTCTTACTCTTCAACTACTCTTTCTTCCTTCGTCCTTCTCTTCACCCACCTCAACCCTCTACCAATACCACCACCACCACCACCACCACCACCACTACTACCACCGTCCCCATCTTCTCGCCGTCCCCTCTCCCATCCTGGAGCTCTCCATCGTGTCCGCCATTCATCACCATCTGGATTCCCCCCATGAGGACCGAATCTCACCTACCGCCTCTCCTTTAGGAGGACCATGCGCTAGTGAGGGAGCTTCTCGCGCCGGGGGCATCTTGCAACCTCAGCTGTCTTCGTCTCGGCCTAGTGTCCAGGAGACGACTGCCCATGGCAACACCATGTTCGATGCCCAATCCGATGCTCTTTCATCCACCTTGGCTTATGTGACCTGTATGTGCGCGCACGGCTCTCTTTTTTTCCTTCTCTTCTTCTTCGATTCCGACTCTTTTCTGTCCCATGTTTTCGCTCTGTCTTCCTCCGTTTACTCCTTTCGGGTCATTTTGTGCGCGTCCACTTAATTGGCAAATTAATTTGCCGAATCGCCTGCCCCCCCTGTCCTACGCATCGATATTGGCTTTCTTCATGCGATCGATTGCTGTCCTTTCCCCAATAGTATAGCCACCCAGCCCGACTAACTACGTGCTAACGGCTCGGCCTTGTTTTCTGGCTCGTCAGGCTTGATTCCCTCATCCGTTCAGGCAACTACACCATGTGAGGCCGCGCCTCAATCTTCCACTCCGGTTGCGACTTCTAGCATGTCTCCCATGCTCTTTTCTCCCGACGCAATGGCGGGTCGCACCATAGGTGAGTCTGGCGACTTGGATCGCCCGATTTCGCGTGTCGCAAGCCCCGTCTGCTCCCAGGATGGACAATCCCAGGAAAACAACCATGGCGCCCTGCCTACGGAGCTGCCCAAGGTATCCTTTGAGGAGTTGGCCGTTCGTTATCGTCAAAATCATCATAATCAGAGTCGTCGGAAGACTTTGGAGCACCGTCTCCATGCCCTTAAGGTTTCAATGGGGATTTCGGCGCGCTTCGTCCGCGTCAGTTCAATCGTCCAACGAGGCTTGGTCGACCGCCTTAAACACGATGATAAGCCCAATTTTGTTGCTCTCTATCATACCCTGGTAGACCTCCAGGAATCGTGCGATTCCGCTTTCCGGCGCAACTTTCACCGGCAGGATCCGTTGGAAGAATGGTCGCCCATCCGCGAGTCCTCCGTGGACCGTTCCCCGGACTTTTTCCTTCAGTTGAGTCCCCAATCTAGGTCCGATCTTTTGGAAATTCTACATTTGGCCCGTACCGATCCTCAATTCATCTTGGAGAGGATAAGAGCCTTGACTCCTGGCCAACTGACGGCCTTGGTATCATCTGCGGGCGCTGCAAGCGATCCCAGTGAGATGTCATTCCCACCACCTGCATCCCGTTCCCGGACTCATGCCTCCTTTTCAAAGCGCTCTTCTGCCTCTTCCCTTAAAGATCGCGCCTTGACTTTTGAGCGTACGGATGCCCTGTCTACTCTGCTGTTCAACGTTTACGCGTCCCCATTGGATTCAGATGCCCCGGAAGCACAGCTCCGCTTGGATGTTTGGTCGTCCGTCTTTGCAAAACTTGTATCCGATGGCGGCATCAAGTACGATCCCCTACTCGGCCACATTTTAGGTTCCTGGGCCACAAACAGTGAATGGAAAGCGAAGCCCAAATTTGAGCTCTATCTCATGGATATCCTGCAAACCGGCGCATTTCTCCTGGAACATGTAGAAACTCCCCCTGGCATGAGTTTTGGTACAGAGCCTCCCGACCCCTTGAAGACCGATGTGGCCGAGGAATTTTTTGCTTCTGCAGTAGATGCATTGTTCCAGCTTTTGGATGACCCAGATGGAGGGCTTCCGCATGCGGTGATGCAATTGGGCAGTGCTATTTTGCAGAAACTCGAACGTCAGGACGGTCGTGACCGTTTCCTTGAGTTCTTGTTTGTCCAGTGGTTCTTTGCAAAATTCCTCTATAGCGCACTGACCTACCCTGAGGTATGAGAAGGCTCACCCAGACGTTTTAAAGCTCCTACTCTAACACTATGTCCAGGCACACGGTCTCTTGCTTGACTTCCATATCAGAAAAGATGCTAGAGAGAAGCTCCTCGGACAGGTCGGACTCCGTGCCTACTCGCAAGTCTTTGCCGTCCTTCATTCCATGTCCGTTGTCCCTTTGTCCAGTCACTACGTGAAGCCCTTATCTAGAGCATCCGCTAACGCACCTTGTAGGAACCACTATTCTATGGCTCGTCCCATGGTGAGAAGGCACGTTGAGAGCATGCTTTGCCGGTTCGACCATGCCGACCCTCGCAGGAACGTCTTCGGAATACAAACCTCTTCCCGCGCGACAGCTATCAGCAGCCGGGAATCGCCTGCTGCATTCTTGATGCTCTCCGCTGCTGACATCTTAACCCTGCTGAATGCTCTATTCCCTAGGACAACCGCTTCTACATGCAATTCCCCGCTCTCGTCTTCCGGGATGCCTTCCTCCCCTGCTGGTTCTTTGGCCGCTCGGTCAGATCGCTCTATAGCGTCTATCATTGAGCCAGGATTTTTCCGGCCTCCTTCCGATAACATGTCCATTCACGCCCTCCAGGACCAGAGATTATTTGCTTCTGACATGGCCTTTCTGTCGCTACCGGAGAATTGCATGAGCCGCAATGCTGACAGGATCCGCTTCGAGTTGTCAGATCTAAGCGAGCCTGATGGTCGTGCAACTCTGGAACCACCTGCAGCTGAAGAATGGACCATCTTCTCCATGAGCCGAAATGGAAGATGCTTGACCTGGGGTCTTTTCCCCGATAATGGCCCGTCCAGTTTCCCGGAGCACGATTCTGTGGACGACGTTCAGTCCACCACCTTGGGAATGGAAGACAACTCTGAAGCTCTCCAAACAGCCATTGTGAAACTGATTCAAGATAACCCCGCCGATGATGCTGCAGAGTATGGTTTCATAGATACTTATGACGTATCCCAAGAAGCCCATGTATCCCTAAAGCAAAAGTTCGATAGGGCCATGGAACACTGCCATCATGACTCTGATTTCATCGGGGCCCACTACTGGTGGAATGCCGGCCGACAGCTTGTCCGCAGCGTTGCAAACTCTCCCTCTCGACGCGTCGACGACTCGTGGATCCTCGAGCCCATGCATGCATCGTGTGTCCGCTCACTCGCTACCTCACGGGCGGTTATTGAACGGTGTGAAACTGATCTCGTTGCCCTCAACAGGCATGTGCAACGGGTGCAGAGATCCGTAAAGGACTTGATGGCCACTGCGGCTAAGCTTCGAGACAAAATGTGGTACATGACTGATGTAAAGCACTCGATGAGGTACGAAGATGCCAAACATGTCGCGCTGGCATTGAAGACTATGATCTACTCTGCTCGCCTCTACAGACAAGCACCAAGCGATGGCCGGTCTCGCAGCAGCATGAGACCCTTCGGAAACTCCCTTCTTCAGAAACCAGAGTTGCAAGTCATGAATATCATGAAGGCACCGAGCAGTCAAGGCGGTCCCAACAAGCTGTCGGACGAGCAGGTGGACTTGATTCGCAAATGGCTCTCTCACAACAACATCGACAATTTCTGCAAAGGTGAGGAGCGAATCCACCGGTTCTGCTACGAGGTAAAGACAAGCATCAATCGACTCGTTGGCGAGACCATGGCCGAAACCCCGGTGCTGTGGTCCAGCGAACTGTATCACAAAGAGCGGGCCATGTACGAGGGCTCCAGTAACCGAAGCTTCCTAAGCCTCTCCTCAAGCATGCGACCGTTCAATATCTCCAGTGAAGACACGCCACATGCCTCGCCAGTCCACGGGACTACTACTCGTCCATCAGACACTTCAAGGTTTACGCAGGACCTACCTCCGCTGAGCTCCAAGTCCTCTTTCCAGAGTCTGATGTCCGATAAGTGGAAAATCCCTCGGGAGCCCTCAATCACAGACGCCTCTTCAATCGGCGGCGGGTCCCCAGGAAGGGCTGCCTCAACTACTACCGGCGATTCGTTCAGCACATTCTGGTCAACACCACAACCGGCACACTATGCACCAAGTGCTTCCAGCCTATATTCCCGACCCCCCTCTATGTTCAGCGATAACGGTGTCCAGCCGTCACGTCGCAATGATCGCAAAACGCAGAGCAAAGGAGCTTTCTTGGATGGCCTGAAACAGACCCTGACGAGCTTGCTCTTGAGTGACTTAGGCTCCCCGGTGTGGAGCTGTGGAAGTGAGACAGACGCTTGGTTTGGAAATGCACTGGAACAGAAAAGAATCCGAACCCAGATGAAGAAACGCGCGCGCATCCAGCAATTTTACACCGAGTGTGATGAGCGATTTGTTCATCATTCTCTCCAGCGCACACCGTCGGACCGTCGGAGAAGCAGATCGCTGGAGTCTGCAGATCGATCAACAACCGGGGATGCCGAGACACCGTCTGCATCTGCCGCTGCCAACTCTATGCAGTCAGATGAAACGCAGCGCTTCTCGTATGGTACTGTCTTTCGACGCCTCATAGAAGTCTTCTCGCGACATGGGAACCCATTTATCAAGCTGAAGGCGTTGCGGGATCTGCGGGCGCTTGTTGTTGCATCTTTGAACTCCGATAACGATGATGCAATCCCATTCAGTGCAACTGAGCCGCCCTCCTGCCCGCGAGGTCGCACTCCCGGGCTTCAGAACAAGAGAAGCGCCCGTCATAGCTTCTCCGAGTCTGATGCCAAGCGGACTCACGCCCAGGAATCCTCTCATACACCGACGACTCCTGCGGCCGAGTCTGTCATTTTCGACTCCCGGCCCTCTGATTATTGTGCACCCACCGAGAATCAGATTGTGGATGCTCTTCGCAGCCTCCTCCTTGAAGTGAAGCCGAAGACCCTTTTCCGTGACTTGCAGTTCATCTCAGCCTTTGTTCCTTCGGAGACGTTAAACAAGTCTGACAGCGGGACTGCATTTCTACAGTTTGGCTTGGCGGCGCTGAGTCTCAAGGACGAGATCTGCAATAGCATGGTCGAAATCGCCGATAACATTGTATCTCAAGAATTCAGCCGGCGCCATCCGCCTGGCTACGACCATACACCCCGGCCTGGGCACGCCCTCGAGGATGCTGCGGGCATGTGGATCATCACTGCCAAGGAAGGCAATCCAGTTGCCCAGCGGGAACTGGCCATTCTTTACCTTACCCACCCTGAACTCCTCCCGCGGGTAACCCTACCACTCACACTGCTGCGAGACACATTTAAGGCTGAAATGATGTACCGCCGCGACAAGGATTCCAAGTCTGACCCGCAGAGCATGTGCCTGGCACTGCACTGGATGCAGTTGTCGGCCAATGGCGGGGATGAACTTGCGCGCAACCGACTTCGGGAGCGGGAGGAGTTCGAGTCTATTGCATAAATCCTTTTTTCTTTTTTTGCAGTTCTACTCATACTCAGTACTTTCCTTACTTTCGATTCGTTTCTTTCTTTTATTGCTTGCGAGCATGTGCTTGTGATCATCTTTAGGACTTATATCTTTTTTCCTTCTCACCCCTTTCTAAGATATTGATACCATTCACGACCTGCCGATTTTTGGCATCCGGCGCGGGTCTACTTACGCAACTAATCCTGGTGCAGACGCGCAGATCTATTGCTATCCTGTTTGACAGATCTGGATGGACGGTGTTCTCCCCGGTTTCCCCTTGGCTGTTGTATTTTGCTATGCTACTCTTCTGCGGGATGTCCTTCGTCTTTCACGGAGCTGGGCAGGGTCATGAGATTCCCCTATACACTTACACCTCTTTTTTGTGCTTGGGGCGGCATTCTGCTATTCGATCACTTGTTCGTCTACCATTTTGTTTCTTTGGTTTTGTTTATTTTGTCATGCTGGTGAGTCGTCGCATCTTTACGGGGGACGAAGGAATCGGGCTCTTGGAGTTCTATCGCATACCGGGACAAGGACGGGAGTGTAGAAACGCTTTGTAGTTCGTTAGCATCTCGGACCGCAACTGGAGGGACGCAGGGAAACCCGGTCCACCAGGGTTCAGAATACAAGCAGCTTTATGCAACGTTGATGGGGTCAGGTAGTCAGGTAGCAACCACGTAGTGGGTCGGGAGTCGACAGTCGATCTCGGACAGTTTGAGAGGTGAGGTGAAGAAGGGAAAGTAGCACAACAGATCCCCTCGGATGCTTGCGACGTCATCGACGGGCAGCCCCACGTGCCAGGTCACGGCTGGCTGTCTGTTTGCATTTACTTCTAACGCTCCTTCTGTCTCTTTCTATGTTTCTGTTACAAGAACTGTCAACCCAACTGAAGCATCTCCTGGTCGCCTTACTCTCTGACTCCTTTTGCCTCTTGCTCCTTTACCCCTTTCGTACCCCTCCCTGTTCTTGCTAGGCAAAGACAGAAAGAGAAAGTGAATCGAGCCACCAGGTAATCATCAGATCCAGCTAAACCGCGCGAACGTGATTCATCATCAGCAACCGTGCCACCGCCCTCATTTGTCGGGCTCATCGCCAGAGGCTGAGGAATCCCACCCCCGCCTCATCCAGGCCTCCTTCCTGTGTTTCTTGTCGCCAGCTCAGCCTCAGCTACTTACTGCCTTTCCCTTCGGGCACTTGCAGCTGACTATCTCATTGAATTTTCTCTTTCCCTTAGCTCATTTAATTTCTTTCGGGTCGCATTTATTGCGCATCTGATCCGCTTTCTTATCTTTTTTCCCCTTTCTTTCCGCTTTTCCCCTCCTTCAATTTTCTCATACTTTATTTTCCTTCTACAGCGGTCGCTGCTGTTTACTTTACCAACTTTCTATCTTATTTCATCTATACATCTCGACTACCCGATTTGATCTCGGTGCGCTTGGCGATCATGTCTCACCATATGGAGGATGCACACAAGCGACCCAAGGGTAAACAAGCCTCTTGCGATCATCCCTGTTCTACGCCTGGTCGCTAATCGGACAGCAGGTATCTTGAAGAACTCCAGCTCTCACGTTCCTCAGGTCGCGCAGCATGCTCACGCTACTCTGACGATCCCTTCGACCTCGGCCGACTCTACGGACACCAAGGAAATCACGCTTCAGAACACCCTTCAGAATGCCGGTCGGCGTCGGTCGTCATCCAACACTCGCCCCGGGTCTTCGTCGCGACGACAGTCTCTTGCCAGCATCCACGGTCATCACGACGAGTCTTCGCCTCGCCTGAAGTGGGACGAAGCCAACCTGTATCTGACTGAGCAGGAGAAGACGGCCAAGATGAAGATCGATGAACCGAAGACTCCCTATGCGCCGCGCTATGACCCCGCCGAGGATGAAGACGAGCTGGCGGGTGAGGAAAGTCTGATTGATGCGCAAGAGGTGGTGGTGGACGAACTGGACAAGACGAAGAAGGCGCACAAGAAGGCGATCGCAGAGGATGATATTCCGGAGTTGGAGCTGGGCGAGGCTGAGGAGTATGGCGGTGATGCGCACATGGGAGATGCGGATCGGATCGTGCGCGAACGAAGCCTGAGCAATGACTCACATCGGGGCGGGAAGCACGTTGTAGTCGGGGCTGGCGAGTTGAATGGCGAGACGGAGTCTGGTGGAGATACGTTGATGACGGCGGGCGAAGCCGAGGAAAAGCATCGCCAGTTCGAGCAGCATCGGAAGAAGCACTATGAGATGCGGAACATTAAGGAGCTCCTTGCGTAAGTTGGCCCCCTCGTTTTCCAGAATGGGGCTGTGGAATTTGTCATGGTGTCTGGTATACTGACGGGGTTTCTGTTGGTTTGGTAGTCACCCGGAAGAGCTTGAGGACGAAATGGACGAAGATGAAGACGAGGGGGACAGCTCGAGCGCCGCGGTGCCGCCCCCGATGCCTAGGATTCCGGAGCGATTTCTAAATGGAGGAAAGTGAGGTTGCGAAAGGATGGACGGACAGAGAGAGACACTAAAATTACTTCTACCCGAGAAGGACTTACGACGGGAAGAGGTAAAACCGGAAAATGGGTGGAGGGAGGGACTAGCTGATTCTTTGCTGCATTAAACGGACTCTGTATATTCCCCAGCGTTGTTGTTTGGTCATGATGGGACGGACTTGTATGTATCTATGGGAAGTATTCTGCTTTTTACTTTAATTTTCTTTCTTCTTTTGCAAGCTGATGTGGATTTGTCGGCTCTTTGAGACTCATAGCGATTGATGGGTTGATTGATTGATAGACGAGTGAGATGAAATGAAATGAACCCGGGGGGGGGGAGTTATGGATTATTGACACGTCTTGTTTTATGACTAGATAGATACTAAGTACTCCGTAGTAAAATGAGTCACGTAGTTAGTTGAGTGTCAGGGGGAACCGAAACAATCCACCCGAAGCAGGGAGAGTTCCAGACTGTTGTTTGTCTGACCTGCTAACAGGCCAGGGGGGGACTTCGTCATCCTTCGCGTCAAAAAATAGCAACCATCGAATACTATGACGAGAAAATACAAACCAAAATACAGAAAATACAATTTAGCAAAGAAAAATGCACCAATACCATCAAGAGAAAAGGTGATAAGTAGTAAGTATTATGTACTAGTGAGTAAGTGAGTTAGAGCACGCGCCTCTTCGCTAAACCCTCGGGCTGGGCTGTCAAATCATCCGACCGACCACCTGAGACAAGGAAAGAACAATAATAGTATCAATCAAGGAAGAAAAGAAAATTTTACCAAGAGTTGGCATACCCTCGAGTACTTTACCCGGTGCCTTGCATGTCATCTTGGAGGGAAGTGAGTGGATGATGAGGTGTGTGTGTGATCAGTCACCGCATGCTGTAGCCTGTCAGGGGGGCGCATCATATCCTCGTCTCTCTCTCTCTCTCTCAGTCTCTCAGTCTCTCTCCTGAAACATCCTTGCAGGCCCACTTCAAAAGATTCAGGAGGATGGGATGGATCACTTTGTTCCTATCTAGTACGTCGCTACTCTAGTTAGTTGGTTGCTATTTCTGAGTCACTTGGTGGTGTGCCTTTTTCACTTACTACTACTTCCCCCAAGTCAATAGATCAGATGTTGAATAAAGTTATAAGGTTTGTTGTTGTCTATCTATTTATCTACTTAGTAGTGAAAGAGTCATGTATGAGATTGTCAACCATGGGATGATGATGATGGATCCCATGTTTGTTTGTTTGTTTGAAATTTAAACTCTCTGTGGATCTGGTCTGAACTGATAGATAAAAATAATGATAATAATAATAATAGTTGTCTGTCTTGTCTGATCGCCGTTTGAAACCTCCTAATTGAAATTAACGGCCGCTGCAGCAATTAATTAATTAATCCTCTGCTGCCTCTGATTGGATTGCACGCCTTTTTTCTGTGCTTTCTTAGCTTCTCGTCTCGTCTTTGCCTGCTTCTGTCGCTTCGCTTCGTTTCTTTCTTGTTTCTCTCTCTCTCGTGTTTTCTCCTCTTCCCCTTCTCTTCCTCTTCTCCTTCTTTCTCTCTTTCTTTCTCCCCATACTGTGTGCTAATTTCACGGCTGTCATTGGAAAAGCCCATCCCACTTTCGCATCCGCAATTCCCATACATTCTTTTAATTTCATTTCCTCCCCCCCTCTCTACTCTTATCTTCATTTAATCAACTACTACCAATAATAACATCCAACTACATACATCATGGCCGATCAACCCGAAAAGACCGCCGCCGCCGCTCCTGCTGCCCCCGAGGCGCAACCTCCCACCACCACCACTACTGAGTCTGCGGTTTCCGAATCCCAGCCTCAGCCCGAAGTCGAACAGAAAGTCGAGCCTGTGACGACAGGAGAAGAAGCTGCTTCTCCTGCCCCCGCTGCCGCTGCCACGGAACCTCCCGTGACGGAACCCGCTCCCGCTCCCGCCCAGGAGGCCCCCGAAGATAAGAAGGAAGAAGCCAAGGAAGAGACCAAGGAGACCAAGACTGAGGAACCCAAGGAGGAGCAAAAGGCGGATGAGCCCAAGGCTGAGCCAAAGGCCGAAGAAGCAAAGAAGGAGGAGGAACAAAAGCCCGCTCAGCCCGAGTATCTGGCCAAGAACCCGGCCCTCAGCCAGTTCTTCGATCGTCTGTCGGCCATTCTCTCCTCCACTGGCTACAATGAGATGTGGGGTGTCACCCTCAAGGACTCCTCGGATGTCCCCACCGTCAACATTCTCATCAAGTTCCTGCGCGCCAACGAGGGTAACGTCAAGCTGGCCGAGGAGCAGCTCACCAAGGCCCTGCAATGGCGCAAGGAGATGAACCCCCTCGCCCTGACCGAGGGCCGCTACAGTGCTGAGCGCTATGGTGGTCTGGGCTATGTCACCAAGTACCCGGAGGCCAATGGCAAGGAGGTCATTGTCACGTGGAATGTCTATGGTAATGTCAAGTCTATTGATCAGACCTTTGGCGATGTGGATGGGTAAGTGCGGCTGCTGTTGCTACCTTTTTACTGTGATTGATGGAGGACTCATATCTAACTGTCACTAGATTCATCAAGTGGCGTGTCGCACTCATGGAACTCGCTGTCAAGGACCTGAAGCTGAGCGAGGCGACGACCGTGATCGACTACGACGGCGAGGACCCGTACCAGATGCTCCAGGTCCACGACTACCAGAACGTCAGCTTCCTCCGCCTGAACCCCACCATCAAGGCGGCCAGCAAGAAGACCATCGAGGTGTTCTCCATGGCCTACCCCGAGCTGCTGCGGGAGAAGTTCTTCGTTAACGTGCCTGCCATTATGGGCTGGATGTTCGCTGCCATGAAGGTCTTCCTCAGCAAGAACACCACCCGCAAGTTCCACCCCATCTCCAATGGTGCCAACCTGGCCCGCGAGTTCCCTTCCCTGAAGGAGAAGTTCCCCAAGACCTACGGTGGTAACGGCGCGACCCTCGAGGAGGATGCGTTCACGGTCAACCTTGAGAAGGCCCAGCCTGCTCCGGAAGCCCCCAAGGAGGAGGCTAAGGAGGAGCCCAAGCAGGAGCAGACCGAGGCCCCTAAGGAAGAGGCCAAGGCAGAACCGGCTGAGGCTCCCAAGGAAGAGGTGAAGGAGGAAGCCAAGACAGAGCAGCCGGCGGCTGAGGAGCCCACCAAGGCAGAGACTGCAGTGACGGCCCAGGAGGCGCCCGCCGCGGAAGCCAAATAAAAGCAAGCAAGAGGCGTAATTCACGCCTGGTCGGGATGAGGCCAGGATCACTGATCACTTTAATTTACGGTAATGGATGGGACAGGTTGGATTGATACCCGGGGGAATCGGTAGAATGATTTCCGTGTCGTTTTGCGTACTTGATACCTCTCGATAGTGTGTGTGCTTTATGTTCTGGGATTGATGGGGGTGCAGAGGCACTAGATAGTAATAATTAATGTAACAGGTCATATAGCCTCCGATTTAAAGTTACGACGTTTCTGTCGCGTGGAACGTTATTTCATGCGTTCCTGCATGCCGCAGGACTTAATCGTATTAAACACCGTATTTCTGCCTATTTATGCTGATCGCCAGCCAGGCACCCCTGATGACTCAGCAGACAATGTCCCTCATTTCCTGCACCAACAAAACACTCAGCTGCACAACTAAGACTGCACGAACAACAGGCAGCAAATAACCTTCGGGCAAGGGAGATTTAGTGTGTTGTTCTTCCCTTCTCCTCTCGAGTGTGGTTGTATCCTATAAACCACCCCTCTCACTATCCCTCTCCACCAATTCCAATTCTGCCATTCTTCCACCCTTTTTCTATCCCCCCCAATATTATAATAATAATAAGAATAAGTGTACAACAACCCCATCACAATGTCGGGACCTCACATCGGCCTGTGGAGAACTCCCGCCCAAGGCCATCTCACTCCCGACGCCAACGGCGATCTCAAAACCGACTACACGCGCTGGCGTCTCCGCGACGACCGCGGCCGCCAAACCTGGCACTACCTGGAATCCGACGCCGAAAACGAGCAATGGCCTCAATCCATCGCAGATAAGTATTTCCTGGGTCTGCCCACGGGACTTCCCGAGCTCCCTAAACCCCAGACGCCCCTGCAATGCGCCGAGAACGGGCTGGAGTTCTTCTCCAAGTTGCAGCTGGAGCCGGGGAACTGGGCGTGCGAGTATGGTGGGCCCATGTTCTTGCTGCCTGTCTTGATTATCACGTATTATGTTACCAACACGCCTATTCCGCCGGAGTATGCTACCGAGATTAAGCGCTATTTATTCGCTAGGCAGCATCCGGAGGATGGTGGGTGGGGGTTGCATATTGAAGCTCATAGTTCGGTGTTTGGTACTTGTATGAATTATGTTACGTTGAGGTTAGTGGGTGTGAGTGAGGAGGATCCGAGGATGGTGAAGGCTAGGGGTTTGTTGCATCGGTTTGGGGGTGCTATTTATGGGCCTCATTGGGCTAAGTTCTCGCTGGCTGTCTTGGGTGTTATGGATTGGGAGTGTGTCAATCCGGTGCCGCCGGAGATTTGGTGAGTTTCTTTCTTGTCTGTTCTAGTGGATGGGTTGCTGATTCTAGCAGGCTACTTCCTGACTGGGTGCCGTTTGCGCCGTGGCGCTGGTGGGTTCATATTCGTCAGGTCTTCTTGCCCATGTCGTATTTGTGGTCGAAGAGGTTCTCGCATCCGTTGGACCCTCTCACCAAGCAGCTGCGGCAGGAGCTGTATACCCAGCCGTATGACTCGATTGACTTTGCGGCGCATCGCAACTCAATCCACAAGGCGGACAATTACTACCCCAAGACGTGGCTGCTGAATACCTTGAACTCTCTGCTCGTCAACATCTGGAACCCGTACCTTCGTCTCCCTGCCATTGTGCGTCGCGCGGAGGAGTGGACGTGGGAGTTGGTGCGCATGGAGGACGAGAATACCGACTACGCCGGTCTGGGGCCCGTGAGCAACCCGTTCAACATGATTGTGTGCTACGAGCATGACGGTCCGGACAGCTACTCGGTCCGTCGCCACCGCGAACGGCTGCACGACTACATGTGGATGAAGGACGAGGGCATGCTGATGAACGGCACCAACGGCGTCCAGGTGTGGGATACAGCCTTTATCACGCAGAGTATCGTGGTGGCTGGCTTTGGCGATGACCCGAAATGGCGGCCCATGCTCACCAAAGCCCTGGAGTTTCTGGAAGACCATCAGCTGCGCGAGAACGTGCCGGACCAGGAGAAATGCTACCGTCAGCACCGCAAGGGCGCCTGGCCATTCAGCAACAAGACGCAGGGATACACGGTCAGTGACTGCACTGCCGAGGGACTGCGCTCGACCATCCAGCTGCAGGAGATGCACAACTTCCCGAAACTCATCTCGGAGGAGCGGTTGAAGGACAGCGTCGACTGTCTGCTCCTGATGCAGAACCCTACTGGTGGGTTCACCGAGTACGAAACCACACGGGCATCCGAGAAGGTGGAGTGGCTCAACGCAGCCGAGGTATTCGGTGGAATCATGATCGGATACGACTATCCCGAGTGCACGACCGCGTCCGTCACCGCGCTCTCCCTCTTCAGCAAGTACTATCCGAACTACCGGGCCGCGGAGATCAAGACCGCCAAGGAAAAGGCCGTGCGGTACATCAAGCGGGTGCAGCGCGCCGACGGCAGCTGGTACGGATCGTGGGGCATCTGCTTCACGTACGCGGCGATGTTTGCGCTGGAGAGTCTGGCCAGCATCGGAGAGACGTACGAGACGAGCGCGGACTCCCGACGCGGATGCGAGTTTCTCATCTCGAAGCAGAAGGAGGACGGCGGCTGGGGCGAGTCATACCTCAGCAGCGAGAAGCACGTCTATGTGCAGCACGAGAAGTCGCAGGTCGTGCAGACCGCATGGGCCAGTCTGGCGCTGATGGAGGCCGGGTATCCGCATAAGGAGCCGCTGCGAAAAGCAATGCAGCTGCTGATGTCGCGGCAGCAGGCCAACGGCGAGTGGTTGCAGGAGTCGATTGAGGGAGTGTTTAACCAATCTTGGTGAGTAGACCTGATCGTAACTTGAGAGAGAGCTATGTACTAACGAGTGACAGCATGATTTCGTACCCCAACTATAAGTTGTACTGGCCGATCCGGGCGTTGGGATTGTATGCGCGCAAGTTTGGCAATGAGGAGTTGGTCTGATTGCAGCAGACTTTTCTATGAGTATATGTATTACTAGCTACTACTACTACTTTCTCTACTAATTGATAATATGGTTCAAGTATACTATGTTATGATGTTTATAGTTGATCTGGACAGTATAAGTATAGTATATGTGTAGCCAATCACGTGGATGCTCCGCTCCCCGCATCTCCAAAGAAGATCATCGAACCTTGTTTCGATTCCATTCACCTCACCTGCACTTTCACTTTCACTAATTCCTTATTCTCTTCGGATATTCCCTTATAAACAACAACAAGCCTCACTTTCCACACATCTCACACTCACCTCCTACATAACCACATACCTACCCACCCACTTCACCCACCTAACAAACACAACACCACAAAATGAACGCCGCCTCTCTCGGCGACAGCGCTCTCCAATCCTCCGACCCCACCACCGCAACGCTGCACTACACCACGGCCCTCCTCACGCACCCCCGATCGCCCAGCTACTTCATCAAGCGCTCCACCGCCTTCTCACGCCTAAAGCCGACGCCGAATCTCCCCGCCGCGCTGCGCGATGCCGAGTCCGCTGTGCTTCTTGCCCGCGAGCGGGGTAAACGCGAGTTGATCGTCGAGGCGCAGCTGCGCAGAGCTATTGTCTTGTTTCTCATGGGAAGGTATGTGGCTGCCGAGGGGGTGGTGGGGGTGGTGGAGCGGATGGTGGGGTTGGATAAGGAGGGGTGTAATGGGGATAAGGATGAGGATAAGGAGGAGAAGGTGAGGAGGGCGATGGGGGGTGCATCTTCTGCTGGGAAGGGTGTTGAGGCGGAGGTGAGGATTTGGGGGGCGAAAATTAGGGCGAAGGTTAAGGGGAATGGGGATGAGGAGGGGGAGAAGGTGGAGGAGGTTCCGGTGGGGGTTAAGGTGCCTGGGGAGAAGGAGTTGAGGGCGCAGTTGGAGGAGTTGAGGAAGGGTAAGAGTAAGATTGGGAGTGTTAGTGATGAGAAGGAGGGTCAGAAGGTTGAGGATAAGGCTGAGAAGGTGGCAGAGGAGAAAGCCGAGGTTAAGGAAGCTCAGCAGCAGCAGCAGCAAGTCAAGGTCCGTCATGAATGGTACCAGTCCGGAGAGACGGTTGTCGTGACGTTGTACGTGAAAGGCGTGCCTAAGGATAAAGTGGCCATTGAGCTGAAAGAGGACTCGGTATGTATTCCCCCCTACCTCTCCAATCACCTAGATCTTATCATACATGATGCTAATTCAATTCATAGACATCCCTCCAATTCCCCCTCCCCTCCGGCGCCGAATACGACTTCACCCTCGACCCGCTCTTCGCCCCCATCGACCCCTCCACCTCCAAGGTCTCCGTCTTCTCCACCAAGATCGAAATCTCCCTGCGCAAGAAAGTCCCAGGCCAGAAATGGAGCGCCCTGGAATCCTCCTCCTCCTCCACCGGACTTACTACTCCCCAGCCAGTTACAACTACACCCATCACCACTACCACTACCACACAAATCAAACCACAAGCCCAGGGCCCATCATACCCTACCTCCTCCCGCCACGGCGCCAAAGACTGGGATAAGCTTGCTTCAACCCTAACCCAGAAGTCGAAGAAGAAGGACAAACCCAAGAAGAATAAAGACGCGACGACTAAGGCAGAAGGCAAAGGAGAAGAAGAAGATGATGATGATGATGAACAAGCATCCGACACCGAATCCATCAACTCGGACTTCGGAGGCGGCGATGCCGTCGATGGGTTCTTCAAGAAACTCTACGCTAATGCGGACCCGGATACTCGTCGCGCTATGGTGAAGAGTTATGTGGAGAGTCAGGGGACTTCGTTGAGTACGAATTGGGATGAGGTTGGTCAGGGGCCGGTTAAGGTTAGGCCGCCTAGTGAGTGATTTCTTTCTTTTTATACTTCTGTTCTGGAAGGATAGAATGGAGGAATAAGGAAGAAGGGGGGAAGAGAAATGGGGATTGCGAATTGCAAGCGTGGAGTTTTATTTTCAAGGGTCTACTTACTATCCATGTTGTGGGTGCATGTGGGTGGTGTTTATGGTTTGATTTCTTCTTCTCTTTGTTTTCTTAGCTTAGCTTAGTTAGCTTAGTTCTGCTCTGCTTGTAATGGTAATCTTGTTTGAGATTGAGACTGTGGTAGAAGCAAGTATAGTATGAAATAATACTACTATATACATGAAGAACCCCCAATCCAGTCAACACGCCAATTAATGAGCAAAGTAGTAAAGACTAGCATAGTCATAGCAACCTGGCCATATAGCAAGTAAGCAAGCAAGTGCTTTTATGATAATTCAATTCAATCAATCATTCCCCAACCACCAACACCAACACCAACACCAATCCATCTTTATGTCTTCCCAGAGACATAAATCAAGAATAAAATAATAATAAAAAAATAAGAAATAAAAAAAAAACAGAAGAAGAGATCTTATAAGCAACAGCAAGTGGGTTTTCATCTCGCCTCTGCATCCACCTCACTTCCATTTCCATCCTGATACAAGAAGAACTGGATGAAAATACACATATCCAACAATAACGTGCCAAAGCTTCCAATCAACCAAGACAAATTGACCAGGATATACCGACCATACAGCGACGCCAGTTCATCAGATCGACACCGACCATGGTGTCGGCGTTGACACACAGGGGAATACGCCAGGATGGAAAGTACGTAGGTCAGATTACCGATACAGGCGAAGAGGAAGAAGAGTAAGGATACCCCGTCTGTTGACTTGCGGCGGTAGTTGAGGAGGATCTGGGGCAGACGGGATCCGAGGTATAGCACTGCGCAGAGGTAGCCGAAGACTTGGCCTAGGGTGTCCATTTTCAGGTCGTCGGTGCTGTCTTTGCGCTTGTTGTTGTTGTTATTGTTGTCTGAGGAAAGTGATGACTGCTGGCTGATGTACCAGCCTAGAATGCCGGCGGCACAGACGAGGATGATGGCCGAGCCGTTGAAGAAGGTCGCTTGAAGCATGGTCAGAGTTCGAGGGGGACGGGGTTGCTTGGCTGGTTCGACGAGGGGAGTCGCTGGGGAGAGGTGAGTTCCGTCGACGGTTGTGTGAAGGAATGAAGAGGCGGAGTGACGGCGATGGGCGAGCAAGGGTTGGTGATGAGGGGTGATTGTTGCCGATGATGCTGGGCTGCGAGCGTCCAGAGGAGCCTGGTAAGAGGCACTGCGGCGTTTGGAGGAAAGCAACGCGGTGTGCTCTGTGGGTTTCCGAGGCACGACAGGAGAGGGAATCTCCGTGTCCTCGTCGTAGGCATCTGTCGTGATGGGAGATGCAGGCCGCGGCGGCGTGGATGGCTCGTCGCGCAGGGTAAATCCCCGGTAGTAGAAGCATTGAGCTAGGAGCACCACATCGGCTAGGGTGTAGTACACTGCGAGAATGATCATGGTTGGCAGCACGCCCTGCAGGACGGCGCCCAGGATGTTGAACACATCGCCGGCAAGCCAGACGATGAGGAAAAGAAGCGACAGGCCATCAGCGGAGCCGCGACGGAAATTTTCGATGATCTGTGGAGAGAAGACAACAACCCAGCACGCAATCGAGATGGATCTATGTCGGTGGTCAATATCGAAACGTCCAATTCTCCTCTAGTCTGGCATAACCATACCCACATATGCCACTCAGTGCCTCTAGATCTATATTGCCGGTGACTGCGGGAAACATGTCCGGGCTGTGCGAACGAGAGAGCGATTGGGCGTTTCCCCAATCAATGCTCTACTCTATAGTCTAAACAGAAAGCGGCAAGCAAAATCGGTCGACAGCAAACAAAGACGCGTTGATGGAATGAAGCAGATGGCCGGCGATGACGTTCGCAGAGTCTGCGAAGGGTGCAGATCACGTGGGGCGATCCGGGGTAGCTCCTCTCAGTCTAGACCAAGAATGGACACTCAGATCGACTGCTTCCACTTTTCTTCTTCCTGGTAACGCTTTGTTCCTTGTCTCGACGACAATATCCTGCATCATCTATTCTGGTCTTCTGACCAGTCAGTGCCATCCGATTTAGTAAATTCATCCCCCGTGTAGACCTACCATTCACTTCATCCTTCTTGGGACTGCGTACGTCATGTGATTGATTAGTCAAGCCGTGACGTCGGTCATCAACCATCGCCCATCTGAACCAATTCTCTTGCAGCTTCAACCTCCCTCAATCATGTGGCTTCAATGACTGCTCCAGCAATTCGGATTCCCTTCACGGGCCCTCTACCTCCGCCGATTATTGTCCCTCCGTCCGCACGCACGGTCGCAGGTGCCATTGATGCGCTCTTAACCTTTTTGACGGCCCCTCCGTCGCCGCATCTGCGCGGCGTTGATGTAGGCAGGCATTCCCAGACGGTGCTCTTGACAGGCGCTGGCATCTCGGTAGCTTCAGGCTTATCCGACTATCGGGGGGAGAATGGCACGTACATCACAAACAAGACGTATCGACCGATCTACTACCACGAGTTCGTCGCTCGCCATGAGTTTCGCAAGCGATATTGGGCGCGGAGCTTCATTGGGTGGCCGGGACTCCTGAAGGCGAAGCCAAATTCGACGCACTGGGCTATAAAAGACATTGGTACGAAAGGCTATATTAGTTCAGTGGTGACCCAAAATGTCGACTCCTTCCATTCTGTCGCACATCCCGAGCTGCCCACTCTCGAACTCCATGGCTACTTACGTTCTGCGGTCTGCATCAATTGTCGAACTGAAGTTCCGCGGGACGAATTTCAGCAGTCGCTTGAGAGACTCAACCCTGCCTGGGCAGAGTTTCTCAAGAAAATGGTCGATATTGGTGCGCTGAATGCGGACAACCCTGAGGAGCAGAGACGGAGGGGCTTGAAAATCAACCCGGATGGCGATGTAGATTTACCAGAAGCCCCTTACTCGACCTTTCGGTATCCAGCATGTCCAACCTGTTTGGAAAAGCCACCCCGGCTGCAAGACGGGTCCCAATCCCGGGTGGAGGTAGAGCGAGATGGGGCTTGGCTTCCAATTTCTACAGCGGGAATTCTGAAGCCGGCGGTTATTATGTTTGGAGAGAATATCGACCCAGCCGTCAAGGTGGGTGCAGAAGAGGCCATCGACGATGCGGGCAGACTCCTTGTCCTGGGCAGTAGTCTCGCCACATACTCAGCATGGCGCCTAGTGGAACGGGCCTATAAGCGAGGGATGCCAATCGGCATCATCAATATAGGAGGTGTCCGGAATGAGTCGATCCTCTTTAGCAAGGCGGAGCAAGAAACGGAGGCTGTATGCCGGCATGTCCGTTGCAGTCTCCCGTCCCAGGACATTCTAGGCCCTGTGGCAGCACAACTGCCTTCACTTACTCGTCATTAGTGTCTTTGTATAGATTAAAGAGGATGTGATGTATAGATGACGGTGAGCTGTATGACCCGTTCAGATAAGCAGCATAGTATAGTAGTATCTACAAGCGATAAAGTCAGAATATCAAGCTTGCGTCATTAGAGACGTTACTATTTCAAGATAGCAGTAGTATTCATCAGATGGAATAGTCCAGAAAAGATAATTATAGACACGCCAAATTGATTGGCAACTGCGAGTTGGGGCCAGGCATGAAATAGACGCCGGGATACTAGTGGAGACCAGGCAGGCAAGAACTGAGGAGAGGAGAAAGTGATGGCGGGCCAGTCAGCCGCCCGTCCGCTGTTCGATGCCAGCGCGGGGCTCTGCATTCGCCGGTTCAGATCAGCATGGACATGGACGGTCGCGACCGCTCAAAAAGCAAGACATTGCAACCTCCAACCTCCGATTATCTGGATCTCATCTCTAACTTGGCCTCTCCCAAAACTTTTCTCTTCCATCCTCCGCGCTCCACCTCTCGTTCGCATCCAACTCCTGCTGCGCAGAGTACCACCGTCGCGCCATCAACCACCATGGACAAGCAGCAACCCAGCTCCTTCCAGCAGCTGGAAAAGGTGTGTTTTTGATAGCGTCCCTACCATAGACTGAGAAATCACCCAGTCAGACAGAAAGTTGTGATGCTAACTGCTGATTCTAGCTCGGAGAAGGCACCTATGCCACTGTACGAAACCCCTCCCTCCGCACGGCCGATCCTCTGAATCGCACGATGTACTGACACTCACACAGGTCTTCAAAGGACGCAACCGCCAAACAGGTGAGCTGGTTGCCTTGAAAGAGATCCACCTCGATTCCGAAGAGGGAACACCATCCACCGCCATCCGAGAAATATCGTTGATGAAGGAGCTGAAGCACGAAAGCATCGTCTCGCTCTATGATGTGATTCACACGGAGAACAAACTTATGCTCGTCTTTGAGTACATGGACAAGGATCTGAAGAAGTATATGGATACCCGCGCCGACCGCGGCCAGTTGGACCAAGCCACAATCAAATCATTCATGCACCAGCTTCTCAAGGGCATTGCGTTTTGCCACGAGAATCGCGTCCTCCACCGCGATCTGAAGCCTCAAAATCTCCTGATCAATAAAAAGGGACAACTCAAACTTGGAGATTTCGGTCTCGCCCGTGCCTTTGGCATCCCCGTCAACACTTTCTCCAACGAAGTCGTGACCTTGTGGTACCGTGCCCCGGATGTACTTCTGGGCAGCCGCACATATAACACGAGCATCGACATCTGGTCTGCTGGATGTATCATGGCGGAACTCTACACCGGCCGTCCTCTATTCCCTGGCACCACCAACGAAGACCAGCTTATCAAGATCTTCCGTCTCATGGGTACCCCTTCGGAACGCTCATGGCCCGGCATCTCCCAGCTCCCGGAGTACAAGCCAAACTTCCACGTCTATGCCACGCAGGACCTCAGTCTCATTCTCCCCCAAATCGACCCCCTAGGTCTGGATCTTTTGAGCCGGATGCTGCAGCTACGACCGGAGATGCGGATCAGTGCCCAAGACGCACTGGTACACCCCTGGTTCCGCGATCTTCCGCAATTGCAGGCCCAGTTGCAGCAACAGCAGCAGCAGCAACAAATGGCGGGGGCGTATGGCGGCATGGTTCCCCAACAGCAAGCATACTGAGATTCTTCCTTTGATCCGTCTTTGTTTTCCTTTTAGTTCGTTTTCATCATGTACAGCCTTCTCGTTTACCTTGGCTTTCGTTCATCTGCCCCCTTCGTGGAAGGCTTGACGAGCAACGGATTCGGTTTTAGAGTGGGGAGAGCGCGGCGTTTGACTCCTAAGAGGACATTCAAATGATTCTTTCTGTTTTCTCTTTCTTTGCGGTGCATATGGCCGATGGCATTTCGTAGATAAACTTGATCATGATACTCAACGTTCGCTCACCGATTACCTTGCCTGTCATAAAGATTTATATTTGTAGGGGCAGCAGCGAGTCTCTGTGATATTTGCTGCAAACATGGTTTGTTTCTGACGAGCCCTTCGTTGACTAGTTCCCTTAGAGCCCTACAACATATACAGTAACCAATTTCAGCTCTTCATACATCCAGCGCAACCGCGACATAGCAAAAGACCACGATAATCTTATTGAACCTCTTCAAGCACAATACACATAAGTAACCCCACAAAGTGTACTAAACAGGTACCTAACCCTGCGATATATTGAGGTAACCCGACCCATCTACCCAGATCTATACCAATCACGTGATATATCCGTAGTCGCGCGTCTCCCGGCGCGTCTCCCCAATCCCCATCAATCAATCAAACTAATCCCCATACGTAATCCTACAACTACAAAACAACAACAACGACGACCCAAAGGAGCCCGAAACGAACCTTACCCCAAGGCTCAACACCACGAAACACTGCACTCCCTGATCAAACTCCCCCAAGCACCTACCTACCTACCTACCTCAACCCCGCCCAACCCAACCAACGAACGAACGATATAAACCAAACCATGTCCACCGAACAGACCACCCAAAGACCAGGCGCCTCGCCCTCACCACCCCCTCCCGCGCCAGTCCCCCTAACACCAGGCCCGCGCGCCTCCAAACTCCAAGAGATCTTCGACAAGGCGCTGGCGCGCACGCTGCGCGCAAACTCGTACGCGAATTTCAGCGGATGTTTTCCGACGCCGGCGAAACATGTCCCGGCTAGTTTGGAGAGTGTGTGGAGACAGTTGAATGCGAAGTTGGAGGAGAGTGCCAAGGCTGAGTTCGAGGATATTTTGGCGGAGAGGGATGCCGTTAGGCAGTTAAATGAGTTGGATCGGTTGGTTGGTGAGGCGAGGGTTAGGAAGGAGAGAGGGGTTGGTGGGGATAGTGTTGCGTATGTTTTTCCCTTCTTTTTCTTTTAAAGCACTTTTGTTTGTTGCTTTTTGGTATTGTTGGATTGGGCGGGGGAGGAGGAGTGGATGATGGTATGGCTAACTGGGTTTGTTGATAGGCCGCATACGTTGAGTCCGGAGGAATTGTACAAAGCGCATTTGTTGCCGCATCTGATGGAGACGCAGGCGGATTTGGATGCCAAGATTAATTCGGTGCAGAATCAGAATGCTGAGTTGGCTGGGAAGGTCCAGGCGCAGAGGTCTGAGATTGAGAGTTTGTTGTCCGGGTTGGAGGCTGTGGTTGCTGATTTGGAGGGTGCTGCGGCCGCAACGACGCAGTTTACAAGTGAGCATCAGCTTCGACAAGAAGCTGCGCAGATGGATGGAGAGGTTAAGGCTAGATCCGAGATTTGATCTGGTGGCTTGCGATTTCTACAATGGCGGGGACAGGCTTCCCTTTCGACGTTCGAATGGGCCAGGGTATAGTATAATTACGACAACAATATCTCCATATCGCCAGGACCCATCCATCCCTCTTCGACCACGTCCTCCGCAACGAGCATAAGTTCCTTCGGCGCAGCTTTGCGGAGCTGGTGGAGTTTGTCCTTTTGGCCTGCTAGTGCAGCAGCGATGGCCTCCTTGCAGGTTCCATCTCGTTCCTCGTCCGCAGCACCGTCCCTCTTTGCCAAGGCTGCTGCACCGCGGTAATAAGTCTGAGCGTTGCGCAGCAGTGTAGCTGCGTTATCTCGGGCCATGTTATAGTCCCATGGAGCCAAGCCAAGCCTCCACCTACCCATCTCCACGTCTCCCCTTGCCAGATGAATCTTTGGCAAGTTTTCAGCAGTGGGGAGTTTGGACGCTTTGCTCAGTGCGTCCAAGGCAGCGGACAGTGATTGCCATCGAAGAGACAGCGCTTTCTCAAAGGCCTCCGGCTCATACGGAGGGAGATCTGTGAGCGCCGTGTTGAAAGAAGTGAGCGCATCGGCTTTGCTGCACAAGCCATCCGGATCGTTTGATAGATCCAGCTCAGGACCGAAAGCTCGCGAGACTTCTTCGGAGTATGTACCAACTTCAGTCCGTCCGCTTCTGTACAGGACTTCATTCAGGGCGCAGGCGAACTTGGCACGAGCCAGAGTGGCCTCGTAGTGCCTGTTTGACCCCTCGACATATGCCGAGATTCGTTTCTGCAGCTGCTCGGATGAATACTCTTCTACCCAAGTGACTCCTACTTCAGGGTTGAACGTGAGTAGGTTACAGAGGCTTGTGATGGCATCCAGTTGTGCCACAGCAGTATCGACGAGTGTGTCCTTGGTCACGGGCTCAACAATAGCAGCCCATTGTTCTTGCTGGTCTGAGGACTTTGAATCGTCCGCAGGTGGCAGTTCTGGCGGTGTATCTTGCATCTGTGTTCCAGCAGGGTCTGTCTCACCGGACGTCATCTGGTTGATCTGCTCCTGCATTTCGGTGTACTTGAGTTCCTGTACAGTTAGGCAACGTTGGAAGAGTTCTATGGCTTCTTGCAAAAGCTTCACTGCCTGGGCGAGCCGGTCATCCGATGGACGTTTGGCTTCGGTCAAGGCCTCGGCAATGCTAGTGAGTACTTGGGCTGTGTTGAAGAGCGCATCTGCATTGTCTTGCTCCAGGTCAAGCGCAGCTCTGTGAGAATCAAGCGCTACTCGCAGTACGTCCAATAGCGGCGCAGACAGTTGAGCAGCAAGTCTGGGATGTTGTGTGATTTCATATTGAACTCTCGCTCTGTAGACGTCAGTACCTAAGGTAACTTACTGATGGACGCGGCCAGAATGAGTAGTAGAGCAAGAATGAAATCGGATGGTGTATGACGTACTTGTTATATGCCAGGTCAAAAGCAGTGGGATGTTTGCTCAAGCCCTCGTCATAGGTATTGATGGCGCGCATGAAGAAGCGCAGGGATTTGGCTGCATCTCCGGCGCGCCATTTCTCTCCGGCCTCTTCCTGTTCGACACCGACTGGAACATCTTGGTTAGCTATACGGCATCATATGACAGGCGATTGACCAAATGAATATATTTTAGTTCTGATGCTGGGTGACTCACGGGCTAGGTATTCATCTGCGGTTTCTGGGGCCTAGGCAGTAGAGTTAGAGGGAGAGTAGCTACTCGCTGTGGAAGGGTCAATTGAGCATACCCGCTGTGTCGCCTTTTTCTTATTAGGCTTGGTGTCTTTGAGGAAAGACTTTGGCTTGGGCATTGTCAACGTTCAGATGCGGCCAGAGTTTTTTCCGATGAATCAATTCCTCGGCGCAATAAATATAAAGCACGGTGGATGTTAGGCTAAAATCTCAGTTTCAAATGGGAAGCTGCAAAATCAACAAGTATATGATGACGTCCTGCGCGATGTTTTTTTCGAAAATAGGAAAGACGAGGGGTAGCTCCATAATGCCGGCGTTACGGAGATACCGCCTTAGCGCCCGCTTTGAGATTACTCCATATAATAATAAATATAGTACTTTTGACAGATTGAAGATAAATTAAGTGGCCAACAATTTCATATAGATAAGATGAGATTCTATCTAGCTATCAGAACTATAAAACAACGGGCTTATCAACTGATACTATGAGCGGTCAGCGCCTAGTCTAGTCCACTAAGGTATGCTGAGTGGACTGCCCTACACGGAAATTCAACTGTCGGAGAAGCACTCCCGCTCCAATGCAAGTCAGCCAGAGTGATAGTGTGCAAGCAAATCCCGTACGTCTGGCCAAACAAGAGATGATATTCGCCCTTTTCCCTTCAACAACCGGCAGCGGTGTCGTGCATATTGACGATCCTTCAGACGGGACGGAGCAATCAATCAATCAATCATGCATGTCTTACATCGTTTGCAGTCTTACCAGCCAGTTTTCTTACTGCTCAAGACAAAGACAAAAAACAAGGAATTTCATAATACATCACATGTTATTATTGTATGCCAACCACTATTGAGTGAGTCGGCACGGAAGAACCGGGAGTAGGCGGAGGGAGTAGAGAAGGTTTGCTGGGGTTCAAGGATAAAGAAGATGCGTTGCTGCTGCTGCTGCTGCCATCGTCGGATCCGCGTGGCTGCCCACTTGCCCGCACGTGGCGGGCCTGGCCGGGGAAGGGCCTGAACACTCTTACAGTTACAGTAAGTAAGTTAAGTAGTTAGTTATCTAGTTAGTTTTCATAACTAATTGAAGTCAATAATCCTCCTAGTGGTGGAATTCCCGCTGATTTAACTACGAACTAGTGGTGTATGGATATAGCTAGGGTACCATCTGTGGCATTGCAAGAGAGACTTGGTTCTTTCAGTCTGAAAAATGAATCAAGAACGTGTGCAGAATACTCAAGAAAAAAGCAAGCATCTCTAATTTAGTTTGCAGGCCTAAACTGGTACACGATGACTACTTAACTACGTACTAGTTACCTCTTTACGTACCTGGGAATAGGGGGTAGCTAATATGGTATGATGCATCCACTCCGTTTGGTCTGCTACTTTCAGCCAGCCGATCGTCAAATCCCTCAAGTATACTCACTCCGAGTAATTTCAAGAGCATGACGATCAATCCGTCGGGCGCGCAAGCATCCCTGTTTGGTGATGGCGCTCGTGTCTGCCGCCGACGTCCCAACAGAGTCCGGTGTCTCAGGCTGCCTGCGATGGTTTAGCCGGCCTCCAAATGGGTCACATACCCATCTTTTTGTCCCTGCCGACCACTGCACTAGACACTAAATTTATCGGAGAAGCATGAGACAAACGGGCTTGTAACCATACTAGTATGTACCTCACCACTATCAACTCAACTCTATCTATCTTTCGTGCCAGTTAACCAACAAAGTTCCCTTTCACCACAAAGATAAATACAGATCTGGGCAAAGGAGGGGATCGTAGAGAGAATCAGGACAGGAAAACCTTAAAAGCCGTCCAAACGACAACCCCCCTCCAATCCTTTCCGACCGTCGACGAGGAAGAAGATTTTATCAGCATTGCGTTTTGGCGCCTGCCGGTGACCCACCCCATCCGCCTCCTTCGCCCCCGGCCTCTCCTGAGTTGAATGCATGGCACGGCTGCGCGCAGTCCTACACTCTCATCAACAACCTCGTTCTTGCTCTTACTCTTACTCTTCCTCTTCTTTTGATTCTTCCCACGTCAGATATCTCTTCTGATCTATACTGATCGCATACAGACCCTGGAAGGAATTGACTGCCCCCAAGGTGAGAACCCCTCTTCTCTCCAGCCCTGCTGATCCCGGCTCAATCAAGTGTCTTGAACCACTCGTCGGGGATCATTCTCCCAAGAGAAAAAAAAAAAACTTCCCGATTAGTTATTGATACCTTGCCTTCCCTTTATTCCCTCCTTTATTTTTTCGATTGTGGAATACCCGTCTACTTGTCTGCATTTCGTGTCTCTTGGGTCCTGCTGCAGTCGTTCCTTTGATATCCGCACCTCTTTAAGTTCTCGCTTCGCTGACCGGGGTACAATTCCATCTTACAGGTTACGTACGGTCTTCCCGGAAGCCTCGCAGCCTTTGTCGTTCCACTATTCTGCACACGCTTGGAACTGCACGCAATATACGACCCACCGCATCCTACCACCATAGTGGACATGGCTAGACATACATCGCTAGAATCCGAGAGACCCATCATGGCCCAGTCGGTAAGTCTACAAGGACGACTACGTGCGATGTCCACGCACTTATCGCCATCGCAATCTCGTCTGATTCCGTCATAGGCACGTACCTCCAAGCGGTTCTCGACTGTCAGCGAAGCCCCTACGGTCGCCTCGTCGGAAACCACCTTTGCAGGTCTGCCGGCCGGAGACCCCAGACTGGCCGATTTCCACAATCTCCGCGATGGACTGGAGCGCCTGGAAAACAAGCCCCTTCTGAAGCAACGTTTCGTTCCCACTCCGGAGAAGACCGATGACTTGAGCAAGTTGGCATTGGGTGCCAAGGTGGAGCGCGCCCTTGGACGTAGAATGACCAGCCAGGACGCTGTCATGCGAGAACCCGTGCTGAACGAAAAAGCGGTGGTGGAAGCCCCGTGAGTTGTTGCAGACGTGTCGTGTGGTGTTGACCGAAAGTTGCATTTTGATACCTTACTGGATTTTTTGCTCCCTGTCCCCATGGCCACCTGGGCCACGGCTGTTCTAATGTTGCATGTTTTCCCGGCTTGCCAGATTTCCTCTGCGGCGGGTTCTATGACCGAGTTCGATACCCGTCTTGATGAGAAGCTTATCTTTACCTGTCTATCATACCCCCCTTCTGAGCCAGCTATCTACTTTTTGATTTGATGCGATTTCGCTGCGTGTACCAACCCTAATCTACTGTCTGATAGCCATCTACTTACTCGATTACTGAGATTAATTCTGTGATGTTTATGAGGGGTGTGGTATTGTGTCGGCTCCGTTTACTATATGACAAAGGAGCACGCTGATGATTGGATATACGAATCCGAGATCTGCCAGTGATCTATGTTGTACACAGCTCTCTAGACTATGTATTGTCTCTACATTTTGAAATAGGAAAACAAGCAAGAATTTGAACCCCGATACACTCTTACGAGATATGGCGAAGAAAGAGTGCTTCGTATTACAGGCTGTGTGCATTGTAAATGGTACTTAGTAGAACAACTATCGGTTGAGGGTCCAGCATCATCGCCAATGAACGGGTCTGTTCGGGGGCGATTGAATCCACCGCATGCTGATATCATGGATGGCAAATGGACTGGCCTACCGCATTGTTTCACTGCGTCATCAACACAGGTCCGACAGCGATTTCGTTTACAGATTTTGTACTACTACTGAGTGTCAGCCCCATGATTTTATGTAGATTTAGGTCCTACCATCTGTATATCTGATCGATTGAAGTAATCGGTCTTAATCCGCCCCAATATTGCCACCACCGCTGCCACATTTTGTCACTGATCGCGGTCGTCCAGTTGATCGACGAGATGCGCCCGTGAATCATATCAGCCGAAAGTAGCAGGCGGTGAGCTCGGGGCCAAGCGCGATATGTCCCAATGAAGATTAGCGCCGGGCACTTCTGGGTTCGGCTGGATTTTGCACCAGCAAAAACGAACGGCTTGACTGGCCCTTCACCTCAAAGTCGGCTCTCTCTCTCTCTCTGTGCTGCTGCTCTCAGCAACCTCTCGTGTCTCTCCGTCCACCCTGTTACTACTAGCTGTTACTTACCACACTCCCCCAAACTTAACTTCCCTCACCACTCTTCAACCACACACACACACTACTTACCACCCCCCCTCACCCTCCACCTATACACAAACAACCCATCTTCCTCTTCATATTTCCTTGCAATTATCATCCTCAGCCAGTTTTTCATTTGCTCCCACCTCTTTGTCTCTTGAAACAAGCTCCGTCTCTCTTCGTCCCCGTGCTTTTTCCCTCCCGAATCTGTTGCCTCGGGCTTTTCCCTCGCACACTCAATTCCGGAATCGCACAAGGTTCTTTCTGTTATTAACCTCGACGACTCCGACGCGCCACCTTCTTACCTTTCATTGATCTTTTCTTTTCTTTCTGATTCACTTCATTGCGCCTTCGGGGAGCAATTTGTTCGCACATTTCACGTTGTAAGTCCTTCTTTTTCACCTGCAATCGTGGCCCGGATCTCTCTGCCATGGCCATATACGTCCAAGCTTCAAAAGCACTGACAAATACCAGTATCGGGGAATATTTCTTACTAGATTTTTTTCCCTTCCCTCGTCGCATCAAGCCTCGCATCCTATCCAGCATATCCTTTGCTTGGCCTTTCTCTCTTAGACTTTTCTCTTTCTTTTTCTCGAGCCTCCAAGTTTCATTCATTTCACAATGGCCGACACGACCCAGGCTCCTATGAACGGCGGCTACCCTGCGCAACACGCTTACCCCGACACCTTCACCCACGCCCCCGCAAACGTCAACAGCGCGGCCAGCTTCCAGCCTGCGCCCTCCTCTACTCCCTCGAACGCCCCCGCAAATGACCAGAAGAATGGTATCTCGAAGGATGAGGTTGGCTGGTACTTCGTGGAGCAGTACTATACCAACATGAGCCGCAGTCCGGAGAAGCTTCACCTCTTCTACTCTCGGCGTTCTCAGCTCGTTTTCGGCACCGAAGCTGAAACCGTTCAGGTTGCTGTGGGCCAGAAGGTACGTGGTGATATCTCAACTCCATGCCATTCATTTCTGTCCAATAAGGTCTAATATATTGACATCATCGTTACATTATAGGCTATCAATGACAAGATCAAGCAGCTTGACTTCCAAGACTGCAAGGTCCGTGTCTTGAACGTCGACTCTCAGGCCTCATTCGATAACATCCTGATCTCTGTGATTGGCGAGATCTCAAACCGGTCCGAGCCTTCCCGCAAGTTTGTGCAGACTTTCGTGCTGGCCGAACAGCCCAACGGTTACTATGTCCTCAACGACATCTTCCGGTACCTTGTCGATGAGGAGGAGATTGAGCAAGAAGAGGCTGCTCCTGCTGCCCCTGCTGCCCCGGTTGAGGAGCCGGCTGCTGAAGAGCCTGCACAGCCTGCAGCTGAGACTGTCCCGGAGCCCGAGAAGGCCCAGGTAGACAGTGAGCCTGCCGCGGCTAAGGTTGACGAGAAGCTCGAGGAGGCCGAGCAGACTGCTGAGGCCAAGCCTGCCCAGGAGGAAGCTCCCCAGACCAATGGAACCGCGGCTGAGGAAACCCCTGTCGAAGCTGCCCCGGTTGAGACTGAGGCCCCCAAGGCTGAGAAGCCCGCCACTCCTGAGCCCACCCCTGTGCCCGAGCAGAAGGAAGCTCCTGCTCCGGTCAAGGAGAGTGCTCCCGCCAGGGCGGTCCCTAAGACCTGGGCCAACATCGCCTCCAAGTCTGGTGCCTCGGCCCCTGTTGTTCCCGCTGTTCCCGCTGCTCCGGTGAAGCCTGCTCCCGCTGCCAGCTCTGCTCAGGCCACGGCTCCGGCCCCTGCCCCCGCCGCTGCTCCTGCTCCCGCGGCCGCTGCCGCTCCCGAAGCCGCATCCAGCCAACCTTCCTCGACTGATGGTTCTGGCTGGCAGACTGCGGGCCATGATCACAAGAAGACCCAGTCCCGTGCGGGTGAGGAGAATGTTCTCGCTTACATCAAGAACGTCACCGAGAAGGTTGATGCGAGCTTGCTCAAGCAGACCCTGTCTCGCTTTGGCAAGCTGAAGCACTTCGATGTGAGCCGTGCTAAGGTATGTCACCTCTTAGCCCACCCGTAATCCAGATCAGAGAAGGAAAAGCTAACCTTGCGTCCAGAACTGCGCCTTTGTCGAATTCAGTGATGCCGCGGGCTATGCTGCCGCTGTCGCTGCCAACCCCCACCAGATTGGATCCGAGCAGATCTACGTGGAGGAGCGTCGCCCTCGTACCAATGCCTTCGGTAACGGTAGCTACGGTGCGGGCCGCGGTGGCGCCGGTCGTGGTCGTGGTGACCGTGCGGGCAGCCAGGGCCGGGGAGGCTTCCAGCGCGAGGGTCGCGGAGGCTTTGCCCCCCGTGGCCGTGGCGGCAACGTCAACGCCAAGGGTCGCAACCAGGCCCAGGCTGCTTAAGCACCTTTACAAACAAAAGTACCTCTTGACGTCTAACGAAGAACGACGAGCGAACGTAAGCGGCGGTCATTTCAGTGGACCTTGACCGCTTCGTTCTAATCCCATTCTTTCCTTTTTCTTTCCCCCCCTTTACAAAGCCTTATATGATTCCTAGCCCTTCCTCCTGGCTTGAGACGGTATACGGGTTTAGATGCTCACGGCGATCCAGGACATGTATTACTCTCCCCCTTTACTTGATAATGACATGTGTTATGTGGCCCTCTTGTCACAGTGCATATTAGCGGTTGGAAAAGTTTTCTTATCATCTTCTCACTGGGCTTTGCTTGGTCGTCATCATGACTTTGGTTTCCTCTTCCTGTGTTGCCATGACCTCTTTATTTTCTCTACCTCTTTGATGGCTCCTTATCTTCTTAGCATAGCGAGCTGAATGCCCATATTTCTTTCATCTCTGATCTCTGGTGGCTTTTGACCTCCCATTATCATTTTTTTTCTTTTCTCTCCTACCATGTTGACGACCGTCGCAGTCCATCTCTGGCTTCTTAGTCCTAGCTCCTGTTTAGTTACACTTCCTTCTCTGGCTTCTGGTTCATTGTTTCTTATTTGCGGCCTCATCATGTTTTGAGGAGTGTAAATGGATGGCTTCTTGCTGGAATGTTTCTTCATTATTACGTCTCTCTCATTTGTGTGCCGTACTTTCCTTGGGGGCTAGCTCCCCGGGGGGGTTCAAGGGCTACAGGGCGGTGGGTAGTGGGCGGTGTTGGGCTCAGGATGATGTTGTTGCAAATTGTGCAACCGCAATGGAGCAAAACGGATACAAGAAAGAAAAGATTGAAGACATCTACAGAAAACAATCAAACACAGAAATCTCGCTAATGACTTGGACGCCTTGTATGTAGTAGAATGACCGTAATCAAGGTGCGATAAAGGGTGCTCAAGGTTCCCCGGCTGGCGCAAGTAGGGTAGACACAGCAAGCAAGGTTGGAGGGGGTCCAGTGGGGAATGAGTCACTGGCTCATGTAGTAACTAGTGAATAGTTGGTTCTTCAGGTCAACTACTGTGTGGGTACAGAGTACTTCCAGAGGGCATGCCTGAACTGGAAGTGACACATACAGTGAAGTACTAAGTAGTATGTAGTAGTAATTGATGGTAGCTGTGGTAACATTGGTTACTATGAAAGCACACAAAGCGGTCAGAGTGATAGCAGCTCGGGATTGGTTGGGAATGGGGGAATGGAGGGGAAAAGAGAGGGAAGAAGAAAGAGCGGAACGTTCTAGATAGTGGGCCTCAGGCAGCGAGATCGCCCCCCGGAAGTTATCGCCAGCAAAAAGAAGCAGGAAGACATCTGGGGAAGTTCCCCCCCTAAGCATATCGGATCGGGGAATTCCATAGGCTACTATACTAGATAAGTTACTCAATGGAGCATAACCACTGAACCCCCAACCAGTAGGGGGGTGGCAGGCGCTGAGCAAAGGGGAGAAACAGGGCTGGTTAGTGCCTGGCACGGGGTGGGCAGAAGCATCTAGATCCCGCAGCTGGAAGGCGCTGGAACATCCTGGGGGGAGAAGCTTGGGAGAGTCGACAGTCGCTGGAGGAGCAGCATGGAATCGGTGGAAGTTGCTGGATCGCCGTAGAAACGCCGCACTGAAATTTTGTGACGGTCCGCCCAAAGAACATTAAGGTCCCGCCCCCGTCGCCTGTTCCCTTCGGTTCACCAGCTATTTTTTCTTCTCATTCTTCTCTTCCTCTCTCCATCCTAACTCTCTAATCACTCTTCCCTCTTTCTCTCTCCATCTCCCTTTTCTCTTCTGTCACCTCGTGGGCAGTTCTTCAATCTCCTTTCCTCCCATTCTGTGATCCGTGACTTAATCCACCTATTTACCCTCTTCAACTACCTCTCCCACCTTTCAATCCGTTTTAGGTCAGTACTAGTTATACTTCCCTCCCTCTCCCCACCTTGGAGCTCTGACTCAGCCACTATCGTTTGCGTGCAAACTTGGCTCAGAGCGGGAGGCAAGACAGAATTTCTAGAAATTTCTGCCCTTTTCTTGCCTTCCTTCCCTCTTTGTCAACAAATATAAAGAGTCTTTCAATTCCCCCTTCCGTTTTCAACCCACTTCTCTCCTTCTCCACTTCAGAATCATCTGGAGGAGCTCGTCATTTCGCTTCTTCTTCCGCTTCCTCCCTTCCTTTTTACTGACATCCCTACCTCTCCTTCAGAAACCAGTCTCTCTCCTCCTACCGCCACCATGTCTGCCGAGACTTTCGAGTTCCAGGCTGAGATCTCTCAGCTCCTCTCCCTCATCATCAACACTGTCTACTCCAACAAGGAGATTTTCCTGCGTGAGCTGATCTCCAACGCCTCCGATGCTCTGGACAAGATCCGCTATGAGTCCCTGTCCGACCCCTCCAAGCTCGACTCGGGCAAGGATCTCCGCATCGACCTGATCCCCAACGCTGAGGCCAAGACCCTCACCATCCGTGATACCGGTATTGGTATGACCAAGGCTGTAAGTTTTTTCCCATCACTCCCTATTCTTTTCTCTGCCATTGAGCAGTAGACGTTCCAAGTTTCGAACGAATTCTGACTGTAAACTTATTTAGGACCTCATCAACAACCTCGGTACCATTGCTCGCTCTGGTACCAAGCAGTTCATGGAGGCTCTCTCCGCTGGTGCTGATATCTCCATGATCGGTCAGTTCGGTGTTGGTTTCTACTCTGCCTACCTTGTGGCCGACCGTGTCACCGTCATCTCCAAGCACAACGATGACGAGCAGTACATCTGGGAGTCCGCTGCCGGTGGTACTTTCACCCTCACCCAGGACACCGAGGGTGAGCAGCTTGGCCGTGGTACCAAGATCATCCTCCACCTGAAGGATGAGCAGACCGACTACCTCAACGAGAGCCGTGTCAAGGAGGTTGTCCGCAAGCACTCCGAGTTCATCTCCTACCCCATCTACCTCCACGTCCTGAAGGAGACCGAGAAGGAGGTCCCCGATGAGGAGGCTGAGACCAAGGAGGAGGAAGAGGGTGACGAGAAGAAGCCCAAGATCGAGGAGGTCGATGAGGAGGAGGAGAAGAAGGAGAAGAAGACCAAGACCGTCAAGGAGAGCAAGATCGAGGAGGAGGAGCTTAACAAGACCAAGCCCATCTGGACTCGTAACCCCGCCGACATCACCCAGGAGGAGTACGCTGCATTCTACAAGTCCCTCTCCAACGACTGGGAGGACCACTTGGCCGTCAAGCACTTCTCCGTCGAGGGTCAGCTCGAGTTCCGTGCCATCCTCTACGTCCCCAAGCGTGCTCCCTTCGACCTGTTCGAGTCTAAGAAGACCAAGAACAACATCAAGCTCTACGTCCGCCGTGTCTTCATCACTGATGACGCCACTGACCTCATCCCCGAGTGGCTCAGCTTCGTCAAGGGTGTTGTCGACTCTGAGGACCTTCCTCTCAACCTGTCCCGTGAGACTCTCCAGCAGAACAAGATCATGAAGGTCATCAAGAAGAACATCGTCAAGAAGACTCTTGAGCTCTTCACCGAGATCGCTGAGGACCGCGAGCAGTTCGACAAGTTCTACTCTGCTTTCAGCAAGAACATCAAGCTCGGTATCCACGAGGACGCCCAGAACCGCCCCACTCTGGCCAAGCTCCTCCGCTACCAGTCCACCAAGTCTGGTGATGAGGCCACTTCCCTTGCCGACTACGTCACCCGTATGCCCGAGCACCAGAAGCAGATCTACTACATCACCGGCGAGTCCATCAAGGCCGTTGCCAAGTCTCCCTTCCTCGACAGCCTCAAGCAGAAGAACTTCGAGGTTCTGTTCCTGGTTGACCCCATTGACGAGTACGCTTTCACTCAGCTGAAGGAGTTCGACGGCAAGAAGCTGGTCGACATCACCAAGGACTTCGAGCTTGAGGAGTCCGAGGAGGAGAAGGCTGAGCGCGAGAAGGAGGAGAAGGAGTTCGAGGGTCTTGCCAAGAGCCTCAAGAACATCCTCGGCGACAAGGTCGAGAAGGTCGTTGTCTCCCACAAGCTCGTTGGCTCTCCTTGCGCCATCCGTACCGGCCAGTTCGGTTGGTCCGCTAACATGGAGCGTATCATGAAGGCCCAGGCCCTCCGTGACACCTCCATGAGCTCTTACATGTCCTCCAAGAAGACTTTCGAGATCTCTCCCAAGTCCTCTATCATCAAGGAGCTCCGCAAGAAGGTTGAGGCCGATGGCGAGGGTGACCGCACCGTCAAGTCCATCACTCAGCTGCTCTTCGAGACCTCTCTCCTGGTCTCCGGTTTCACCATTGAGGAGCCCGCCAGCTTCGCTGAGCGTATCCACAAGCTCGTCTCCCTTGGTCTGAACATCGACGAGGAGGCTGAGACCACCGAGGAGAAGGCTGCTGAGGAGGCTGCCCCTGCCGCCGCTGCTGCCGAGAGCTCCATGGAGGAGGTTGACTAAATGTTGACCGCATGATGTCACGATCTTCTTTTCGAGCAAAATGGAAATGAGATGTAACTGATTGTTTTTTTGATGACCCGGAAACTGTTCCAGCGGTATTTGCATCAGGGATCTAATATTCACTGAACGATATTGCGTTATTAATCGGAACGGCAAAGGATGATTTTCCTTTGATCCTTTTTCTTTTTCTATTACTGAATCACGAATTCTACCTTTTTCTTTTCGGCGTTTTGAGCGTTTATTACCCCCACCCTAAATACATTCCGTCTGATCCGCTTGTGGTATCAGTACGGTAGATTCATCTCGAGAATAAAAGCTTTCTCTGTTCAACTTGATGCTCTCAACTTGATGCTCTCAACATAGGTCGTAGTATAATAATATGGCAGTAATATCTATCACTGTAGTTATTGTTTCCTGGTACCTCTTCCCAAATGACATATCTACTACCTACATACATAATGATCGATTCATGAAGTCACTGGTCATCTTCATTCATTAGTAATCCCTAGGTGATGCTCTTATGACCGCTATAGCTATCTATAGCATAGAATGAGCAGCACCATGAAAGAGGAGAACGTCAGTCACGATTTGAGTCAAGTCAAGTCAAGTCAGATCAGGTCAATTTGCTGTTGATTAGTATATATCGACAGTATTAAACAAAGAGTACTATTAGTTCGGTAGTTACTAGTGGGTACATGCATATATATAACATGCTATATGTTTAACCTTTTATATCTATTCATTCTTTACTATGATGTATATATATATATGTAGATTGTAGATAGTCGTTACTACTGCTGGTAGTAGTTAGATCTGTGTTATTATTATTATATTATTATTGAGATTAATCCAGCTAGATTACCAGTAAATAATACTTAAAGAGTTATGTATGTGTGTGTCTACTTCTGCAATGCTTGGAAAAATGGAAACGTCCCGGTTTGTCCATATTACGAGTCAATTGACTGTAAGCTAGCTACCTTAAGGGAATTCGATCAAGGGGGGTACACGGATGAAGGGACTGAACACCTGGCCTCCCTGGTGACTTGTGTTGTGGTTCATGAGTACATTGTGCACATATCTTCATTAAATGTGACTTGAGGGGAAGTTGTATGCAATGGGAAAGCGCCAGAAAGGAGTATGGGTGGATGGAATGGGATAAGAAAACGATGAAAGAGAGAGAGAGAGAGAGAGAGAGAGAGAGAGAAAATGTGGGAAAAGAGAAACTTGTCTGTGGTAACGCCGGGGTTTGCTTGCATGCGAGTCAATCCAGTTGACGCCTGTTGCCCCAAGAACTTATGTGTCTCGCCGCTCTCGTAGATGATTGAAGAGGGGATCATGGGAAATAGTAGAGTAGAAAGGGAGGGTAGGGGGATACAAGAAGAAAGTGCCCACCCTAATGAGTAAGGCTGGTTCACTCAATCAGTCGATCCGCACCAGTCAAAGTGCCATTCAGACAGACTGCGCGAGGATAGCCCCCATGCTTTGGCAAGCCAAAGAGCCAGCCCCCCGACAACTCCAAAGGAGCCCACAATCTGAACAATGGCCCAGCCCCGCCGCTTAAGGTCCTCGGACAACCAAACAAGTCCCAGAGGGTCTTGCGGGCGAATTCGAGCAAGGTGATATTCCACATTCTGCCCACTTTGTGCTCGAACAAGTAGACTGCCCCCGCTTGCTTTCTCCAAAGGAGCACGGAGCCCGCAAAAGCCTGGCGTTTGTGTAATGGGGACCAAAGACCCGTCGACTACGCACTCGCCTAACCGTTCTGTGAGCCAGGCGGCACGCTCACCCCTGGCCATGGCAGCGTATCTCTCGCGTTCGTTTTTAAGGCTTTGCTGCAACTCAGATGCCCACTTTGCCAACTGCAAACGGGCCATTTTCTCCTCCTGTCGCGTGTGATCTGCTATCCGAGCCATAGTGTAGCTGGGAGTACCCCGGCTTGAGCCATGGTAAAATGGTTGTGTACTAGGTTGGGGGCGATTCGGGCGTTGCCAGAGATGCGCTCGTTGCTGTTGGGCTAGTTTCTTTGCAGCTGAGTGCCGCATCCAAGTCATATTCTCGGCGTCGAACAACCTCTGGACCAGCAAAGTCAATTCAGAGGGCACCAGGGGTTGGACATAGTCAGGGCTCATCAAAGTACTGGCATCCATAACATCGTCATCACTGGTTTTTGCCGATGATACCGCAAAAGGCAATTGTCCGTCCAAATCATCTGCTCCAAGACCTGCGTTTCCAAAAAGGAAGGGCTTGGCCGGAGTAGCTTGTGTATGCTTGTGGAACCCCGACTTAATTGCAGAGATCTGCTCAGGAGCCAACAAGTCAGCCTTGGATATTAGAGGAATGACATTGGTCCATTCGCATAGCGTGTTGATGCATTCCATGTCTGCCGCAAAAGTATCTGATGCAAGGTGAGCTCGTATCATCAACGGGTGTAAACTAACCAAAAGCTCGGACTACATACCATCAGAAACGAGATAAAGTACAGCATCAACTTGGGTGCCACCCTGCCCTGCGAGCAAATTTTGGAAGTCGTGATCGCAGGAATCAATAGCTGTTATTGCGCGGGATAGTTGTTGACGTATATATTGTATGATAGCATCCACTTGTCCGATGCGACTCAGCGAGGTTGCAGGGGTATCAACGAAGCAAATATTTCGCTCTAAGACCACATCACCTGTACTTCTCCTACGGCGCAGCACGCGTGAATCTTCCAAATCTGACCACCAAGATGGGTAGGGCTTGGTGCTGGCGTAGATTTCTGATGTAGCTGACAACGGTAGTCGTTGGGCTTGAGAAAGTTGAATCGTCGTAAGAGAAGTCCGTGACGGTGTCAAGGCATCGGTAGGTGGAAAGTCGTCTACATGTACAATGTCTTCGCAAGCCTGAACGATCGACCTAATGAGCGATGATTTCCCAGAGCCTGGAGCATCGGTCAGCACGCACTCTGCAAGGATCACAGACCCTACAAGATTGAAGATAAGAAGGGCTCACCAGAATCGCCTGCAACGAGTATTTTAAACCTTCCAAGTGACTTCCCACGAGATGTGAACGGTCTGCGACTAGGCATCTTGATGCTTGGCATGATGAATTGGGATGTGCTATCGTGGTCTGGGTTGTGGACAGATCGAGAATCATTGTCTTCATCTCCGGAGGCAACCGCCTGACTACTCAAGTCGTCTGTGATAGAGATCTCATCTAGGTGGCGCATAGATTGGTTCGAAGTAGATTTGGGACTGCTAGGGAGAGATGAAGGGTCGTCCGGGTCGCTGAGATTCAAGGGGGTGAAGTGCCGGGGAGAGCTCAGGTCGGAGGTAATAGAGGCGTCAAGTCGGTTGGAATGAAGAGTATCAAGGGGCTTGAGCGTTGATCTGCGGCGGTTGAGGCCGGAATCCTGGTCGTCATCGTCATCCTTATCGTCGCGGTTGGGAGATGGAGATGTTGTGGAAATCGGTTCCACACCGGCGGGACTACTACCGACTATCTGGTCTGACTGGGACACGGACGCAGGTTGACTAGTCTGGAGGATGCTTTCTTCAAGGCTCTGTACGCCATACATACTCGTCCTGGTGGCATCGGGCTCATCTGAGGAGAGATCATCATCGTGGTCGAGACCGTGATTGCGGGACAGAAAGAAGGTCGCGGGGGCGGCACTGCGGGGGTCGATCCACTGCTGCTCGATGGAGGCCTTGCGAGATCGAGGCAGCGCAACATCTGGCACTGGAGGTCTCATGATGGAGAAAGAAGCAGAAGTTACAGCGGCAACTCAACAGAGACCTTGCGGTGGCCAGACATCGAATAGGCACGCAGTCCGTGATTGTAGTTGAGGAAACAGGAAGACACGCATTCCATCTCGAAGGAGCGACGTTCGATCGATGCCTGGTCGGTTTTGGTCTGCGTTTATGTCATCATCAGGCATTGGGTGATTGCCACGTGATGGAGCATCTGAGGATACCCCGCACCCTGATTAGCTAAGCCATGCATGCCGGCATGAAGTAGTTATTATAGTTATTACAGTTATATACAGTTACTATTAGGTAGGCATATAATTTTATTATTGGGTGTAAAGGTAGGGAGAATAGTAGGATGTAGATGTAGAGACTTATACTGTGTTTAGTGTATACCCGCTCTGTCCACTGCCGAGAGAAGTTAACTTGTAGCTTAGCTTAGTCCAACTAGTCCTCGGGGCTGTCGGAAACTATTTCGAAGAACGGCGTCGCAATTATCCGAGTACATACAAATAATGAATAGAATTAATATGATTACTGTCCAGTTTACTTTTTTTTTTTTTTTTTTTTTTTTTTTTTTTTTTTTTTTTTTTTTTAAAAAAAAATACCTTTTTTTTTTTTTTTTTTTTTTTTTTTTTTTTTTTTTGCTGATATTATTACCAAAAAAATAGTACCGTATCAAAGAATCAAAACACCAAATATTTATTGGACGCCTCTTAGGTTATAACCAAAAGGTTAGCGGACATAAAGACTATCTCAAGTATGTCGGGATTTGCGAGCCATGACCTGAATCGGATTTGCCGACCTTCTTTGGTGCGTAGGAGCCGGTATTTTATCGACACTAGATCCTCCGTACACATCCCGCACACGGCAGCAACAATGTACGCTTCGCCTTCCCAACACCCTCCAATCGCGATGATCAAGTGCCTCCATACCCTCGTGGTCATGGCTGATCTGATTCCACTTTCAAATTGAACCAGCTGTGAGAACTTAAACGTCATCCACCGCCAAGTTGATCGCGTGAGCAACGCCCTTCAATGGCACTAGCTTGCCCGTATTTGATTGATGGTGAGCTAAGGGCGAAGCTAAGTAGCACGAAAGAAACAAATAGCCCGCCTTTCTTTTCCTCAAGATGCCATTACGGAGAACATGATAGCCTCTCTCTCCACTATTCTTTCCATGGCGTCCACACAGTAACAGGCAATCCAGGCCCCTTTGTTGCACCATCATTTGATTCCTGCCTATGTGTTACTTATTTGACAGGGATTCGAGTATGGTATTTCCACCAACCTAGCTAATGGGGTGAAATAAAAGATACGACTAATTGACTCGTTAGCTGAGATTAATGTTGCCAAATGTTTCAAAAGATTTCCGCATCGGCTTGCACTAGCTTCAAATCTGCACCTAGAGATTGCTAGATGCTTCGGCTGCAGGCTAGCCTAGCCTTACTTAGTTCGACGCCACCCTGCGAAACCGCTAGGTGAACCGAGCATGGCCAACAGCTCGCCAAAGGTTGTCAGACCATGATTCCATGATTCGACGACGTAATATCGAGCCGGCGCACTACTGGCCAGACTTGCGTGGTCTTAGGCGGCAGCCCGGACGCCCACCCGCTTCCTG